AGAGAGAGAGAGAGAGAGAGAGAGAGAGAGAGAGAGAGAGAGAGAGAGAGAGAGAGAGAAGAAAAACAGCCTCCCCTTGAACAACATTAGGTTTTCATCAATGCACAACTTCCCAAATGGGGAAAATGAGCTTCCAAAGATCCAGCCAATGGCATTTACATCTATTTTGAAAAGGCGATTGCTTGTTGGCAACATTGTCAGTGACAACAAAAACCTTCCTCGAGACATTATTGTCTCACAAATGGGTGTTCACTACTCGTTAAGAATGTTTCTTTCCCTTCTCGGCAAGAGTAAACACACCATCAAGAAAACATTTCACCACAAGACTTATCCCTCCATTGTGCAAGTCGCAAATGATATTTTTCAGTGATTTGTAGGGCATTTAAATGAAATTTCTTATTTATTAACAAAAAAATGGTATTAAAGACTCCTACAACAAATCTAAATTTCTTTCGTTATTCTCTGTTTTGTCCATGAAAGCAGCCAATATTTTTAGTTATGAATATGAACAAGAACAAAATCTCTGCAAGCAATCATAACACAAAGTACTTGAAATATGAAAACTCTCAAGAAAGTTACTATTCTTGTCATTATGTAAGGGCCTCCTTCAAACTGTGTGCGCCAACCCCTCATGGGTAGCGAGGACCTCCACACGGCAGTATCGACTAACAAATTTATGGCATTTCGTCATCAAAATCCACCCCTTGGTGATAAATATCATGTACACTATAATGCCTTAATACATTCATAGTTGTAGTTGCCAGACTATTCATATCAATATTTTAGAAAGAGCCAGTTAAGAGAGAATTCGAAACTAAAGGACAAATGGCATTGTAACGTGGAATGCAAAATAGGAAAAGGAATAAATGCATGAGTAGTAGCAGAGATTTTGTTGATAAAAGATAATGAGGACTCACAGTTCAATGCTCAGAAGTCTTCTGGATTATGCATGATGAAAAATTCACACTTCACGAAAGTACTCATTCTACTTATCACAGAGAGAGTAATAAAAACAAAAAATTACAAAATGCTCACATCTCTGGAACGGAGGCAAGGAGATGCAATTTGTGAGTTTGCTGAACACAAATGGATCATGTTAACTGTTAGTACAGAATTGCCATGAGTATGCGAAGGGCTAAGAAAACTCAGATGGCATAGAAAGGAACATTACTAGGTAGGATTCATTGGGATTTAATATACAAAACTTTCAAGATGGGGATGGATGCTACAAAAACAGAAAAAAACTGATTCTGTGAAGATAACGATGGTAGTGACAAAAAATGATTTAAAAGAACAAGAAAACAAGATAGCTAAGGCACAAAGTTTACATTCACATCAAAACCATTTTCTTCTCAATTACACAATTTGAGATTTTGATTTGACTGAATTGCCATTATTTTGATTATACTCAATAATATTCTTGTATAAATATCATTAGACGTTTGTTGCCAATAAATAAAAATTGAATTATATACACAAACTTAAACCCAATTTTATCCTGCAGAGCAGACAAGTTAAACAATATCAATAACCGTGTGTACGCATGACGCAAAGAAATTGCAGCATGTGTACTATGATATAATACAATCCCTGCATCATGAGCAAGTTTTACCATCAGAGGGTAGGTATTTTGGATTTCATTAACAGGTTGTGGTTAATGTTAACAGTAGGCAACCGAACTGTATGTGTTAAGCATGTTCGCAAGCTTGGTTTAACAGGTTCAGACTTAGGAGAAGCGTGTTAGAGGGAGGGCATGTTTCATCCTAGTTTTATATGTTATTAAAAGAATTAAGGAGTTCCAACACTTTTAAGAATATCCTTCACAGACACTAGAGGTTATTATGGAGGACATAGACAAATATTGTTATTCATTTATGCAATCATACATTGTTATTTAGACTAATAACATTCTTGTGGGACAAAAGTAATAAATCGTTTGTGCCTTTTAAAATTCACATTTTGGAATTTTAAGAGACTATTTTTAATTGCTAAAACCCCACAGCTTAGTGATCTAGAGCAAGTGTGAATTAACATAATTAATGGAATCAGCTCTAAACATGTTTATGGAATTGATAAACCCACAATTGACATGATATGTACAATCTATGTACATGATAATGTAGCAACAAAATTAATTCCATTTCCACATTCCAAAAATGCTTTCTCTCTTTAAGTGACCTTCGGAGCAAAATACAGTGAAACTGTTTATACGTTTCACATTTATGTGTCTGTTTGGCAAATCCCGAATATATTCCTATTTGTGTGCTAAATTATTTCAGATATGTATTTTAAGTTTAAATGGTTTTTACACTTTAAACGCTCATAATAAAGTCTTTTAAAGACCACTTAATCTTCTAAGTGTGGGGTGACATGAGTCAAGTGCTTGGAACTTTATTTGTCTTGACATGAGCAAGAACACTCCCATGTAGCAACCTCATGGCCTAGCTGAGGGACCAAGATCAGGCGAGCCAGCGGAGTGTGTGCGCAATGTTCCTGGGCCACCTCTGGCAGTAGGACTTCAAAAAATTTCAGAGTTGCTGTGGGAAGGGAACTGGAGATTGGATAAATTTAATTTCCTAAAAAACCTATATTTTTGACTCTTTTTAAAATTTCTATCTCACAATGAAATTTAAATATAGTGTTAAATAAAAACATAATATATAAATTTATAGTTAATTTTAAGACTTCAGAGATAAATTTTTGGAGCTTTTAGGACTAACACCTAATCATGGAATATGCTTTGTGTAGTACTAAACCCTACTAGTGATTCAAAATGTTAAACACACCAAAAAAACAGACTTTTTTTTTTATTAGTAATTTTTTAAACTGCAAATTGAATTCTTCTTTTTTGGTAATATCTTTTTTAATAAAACTGTGGTGTAAAAACACTGGATTTCTATTTTGTTCATAATATTTAATTTCAGTAAAGAATTTTTTTCATTTATACATTTTTCCCCTTTCAGTCCCCTGAAAATACAAGCAAGTGAAGTTTTACTGTATGCAACAGCTCATATATGAATTTTCACATATAAACTTCAGAATTCTAAAATTTGAAGATTTAGGTCCCCTTTTGAATTGTACAAGCTTAATTTAGAGAGGATTTCTCAAGCAATTGTTGAAGTGTTAGTAAGATGGAAGTTGCAATATTATATTACATAGTGGTTGCTAATAGAGATTCTTCAGGTATATAAAACTACAAAGCCTCTAACAGCAAAACCGAGTGAAACCTAGGACACTTTTTGGCTATTTAATTACTAATTAACTATCATAAAATTAATTTAATTGCCATTTATTTTTTTAAAACTCTTTGTGTTTTTCCAGCTTGATATCAAGGTAGCAAAATATTGATGGTTTCTACTTCCTTAATCAACAACAAAAACTATTTGTTTTGGCTACTAATTAATTACCAAGAAGTTAATTTAATTACACTTTATTAAAAAAGACACACTGTGCTTTTCTAACGTGATATCAAGGTAGCAAAATATTTGTGGTTTTTACTCCCTTAAATTACTAAAACTACCACAAAATGTTTTGCCATTTAATTGCTAATTAATTTCCAATAAGTTAACTCAATAAAATAGTGATTTTACAACTTGATCAACAAGGCAGCAAAAAACAATTTCTGTTTTAGGGGTTTTTTTCTTTTCATGACACAAGCGAAATTCACGCTTTGTAACTCTAGCATCTGATGCTTGGTACAAGCAACTCCGCCTATTGATCAACAACATTGATTACTATGTTTTAAAAACTATTTAAAAAGTCATTTTTAACATCGATGTTTTCAAGATATGTTTTGTTTGTAAATGAAAGAACACCCATTATCATAATTTGTAGAAGTTAATGTAAGTGAAAGAAGTGTAAGTTTGAAGAAGTGAACGTTGCTGATATACCTTTATCGAGCAGACTTCTCTTTTCCCAGAGAGATGACCCCCAATGCCCTGATACATCCTACCTCCTCCCTTGTATTTCACTAGTGCAGAAGCTGTCAAGGATGTGGAATAGTCATCAGGTCATCCCTTGATCCCACATCCTTCTCCAGTAAACCAAGGAAGCTCTGACCCCTTGAGATGAACCCCGCAGTGCTTTCAGCTTAAGATTTGATAATTGTTCTAATAATTTATAAGTTTGTTTTATCTGTTTAACAGTAATTAAAATTAATAAAAATGGCCCCTGTCAAGTTAAATTCTCCCCTGCACAAACGTAAAAGTTAGATGATGTTAATAAAACAAATAATTGATTTTTCAATTTAAAACATCCGTATTTTGAAACTGTTGTTTTGATGTCACATTACAAGTTCATTATGACCATAGCCATGGCCCATGAATCAACCCACCGCAAGCAAGCGCAGAACACAAGCTGAAATACAAGTACGAGAGCAAATAGCACGCTTTGCAAATCTGGTAGCATATACTACAATGTGCATGTTTAAGTACCACTCTTGGATCATGTATATATGAAACTGTTATTAGAAATGTTCAAAACATAATTAAGGACTTAAGATAAATGCATTTCACTTGTGATTTCAGATTTTCCAAAATTGGGGAGATTTGATTGCTCAAGATACTATCTATTGAATCATTATTTTGCTTCTGATTGCAATAAGTTTACCATGTCCACAAAACAGATTAAAAAATTACAAGGGTAAGGCCCAGCTAACCCGGAGAAGGGGTCAGTACGAATCAAAATTCCACATACCAGGTACATTGACGGATGGATTCTCCGACATCCCTGGCATTGGTTGATAATCATGAGGTCTTCTAATTTTTAAACTTTGTCCCTTAAAATTTATGCCATCAAAGGCCATAGCTTGTGTTGTTTCATCTATAGAACGAAACTGAAAAAACAACAGAAAAAAGTTATTTTCTAATACCACAATATTAATAAAAGATTAATTTACACATGCTCATTCACTCACCTCTAGAAAAGCAAAGTTCTTATCCAAATTTATTTGGCAAGCCAAAACAGGGTTTCCAGCAGCTTGTGCTAACCCAGATAAATGCATCTGCTGATTGAAGAACTCCATCATTTCCTCCTAAATACACAATTCAGATAAATTATACTTTTGCATAAATTAAAATAATTAAAACATACAAACAAGTAGTAGTGATAAGAAGTAGATAATATCCAATTAAATCAAAATACGTCAACCAATACATTGTGATTTACCTCTGTGACACCAAATGGGATGTTTCCTACATACAACCGTCGAGCCTGTCTGGTGATTGTTGAACCTACTACAGGTACAGCTGCTTGGGGCGTATCTGCTACTATATTTGCAGGAATCTGACCGGCCGCTGGAAATAATATGGTAATTTTAGATGCAGGAATTTATCAATACAAGTACATTAATATATCACTTCGTTTTACCTTGCATAGCCTTGTACTGTAAAGGTGTTATGTGTTCAAATCCAGGAGGAGGGACATCCCAATACAATGAAGGCTTTCTCCGTCTGGATCTCTTCTCTTTTTTGCCAGGAGACCTACAATATAGTTAGTATTAAAAATTAAATTTCGATATTAGTTCCGGCAAAAAACACACACACACACACACACAACCTAAACTTTTCAGTCAATCTGTTATTTCATCAGTAGCATTAATGAATGTTACCCCAGGAAAAAAAATTGAAAAAGATATACCTTCCAGTGCCGCGATATGGCTTTCCGGCCCTCACGACACGCTGCCGTCGACAAGTGACCAGTTGTCATTTGCCAACGCCAGCGTTCCGAGGCTATAAAATGGCGAGGACTTCGCACCTCGCCCCTCTTATTACACGTCAACCTACCGGAGCCAGCCGTCATCACGCCACCCACTCCCAGGACGTAGGGTCCACTACGCGGGTAAGTGAATAAACTTATTTAAAATATACTCTCTTTTCTTCCTGCACGAGTTTGCAGGGTCCTCCCTCTCCCCCTCAACTCGCGACACCAGTTTGTCAGTTTAAGTATTAAACCTCAATCGCCTAATATGCCTTTATGGATACACTGTATGAAGCTTAAGATGGTATTTTCTTTCCCCTTACAATGTGGCAGTAATGCAATTAGAACATCATATTGACTTCCATTTTATCTTAAATGTCAGCATTCACATTTCAAAATACAGAGAAAAAGTTTCATCATACAATGTGTCATATGAATAAAAATGAGCACTTGCTCCGGAGCAATGCGAGTCTACTCCGCGGCACTGAGCAGAAGCTCCATTTCGTATGAATAAAAACTTCGTATGTCTCCGAAGAACTTACTCATGTCTCATGAGCATTTGCTTGTCGTGCACAAGTGATAGTGCAAGCTAAAAGTTTTAAAAATTGGTTTCTTGAGCAACAAAGAGGTTACATACGTTATGCGTGTCACACACATTTGTGCAGAATAAAGAGCAATGTTTTGTTGTCTCGTTCTTTAAATTCGAATATGAATAGCAGTAACAAAACACAGGCGCCAGAGGCCCAGCTAATTTTTGCGAAATGCTAAGTGGATACAAAATTATTTTTGAAATTAGCCAGTTTTTGGAGGTACGCTGTGGCTGAAACGAAACATTACAAAGTTTCAAAAAACAGTACCCTGAAAAATTCCAAGTAGAAAAGAGCAATAGCCAATTAACATAGTTATGCAATATGAAAACGCGCCTGAACATCAATAAAAATCGTACCAACCATACATTGTCCTTTTCGAATCGGCAAAGATTCTAAGTCTACATCACGAGAATTTCGCCTTATCTTGAATTTTTTGTAGTCCACTGCATGTGCACATTAACACAAGGTAAAGAATCATTTACAAACGTGAGTCTGCTACTAAGGTCCCTCCAAAATTTTGGAGCAAGTGCTCACTCTAGAGAGTAAACGCTTAATTGATTCATACCAATTCTGAGCATTTGCTCCCCAGTTGAGAGTACGCTCAGAGTTGGAGCAAGTGCTCAGAGACTGAGCAATTGCTTACCCACTTTATTCATACGAAACTGAGTAGGATCTCGGAAACTCTGAGCAAAGAGTACTTTCTTACCTTTATTCATACCACCCAATGATTTTTTTTAACGCAGTTCTCCAGGTAGTCATGAGCATGAAGAGGTTATAATATCTTTTTTATTTTACTGTAGATTGAGTGAAATTTTTTTACTAGCATTTTTATAAGCAAGATGCAACGACTTTTTTTATTATTTTAAATATTTACTTTGGTTATTTCAGGAGTGTCATTTTATCGAGCTTATATAGACACGCTACGTAGATTTGTTAGCAGGAAGTATGCAAACCTAACATTGGATTTTCTCTCTCTCTGATATCAATTCACTTGAAATTCTTGATCCTAATGATTATGTATCAAATACTGAAGATTCATTTATGGTGCCATTTAATTTTGAGTTCTATCAAATGAAGATCTGATTTGATATAATTTGAAAGTTTTCTATTGGAAACCATTTTGCTAACTCTGCTGACTTATTGATTTGTTTCCAGGTATGTACACTGCACTGCACATGCTCAATGCCAAAGATTGATGATTACTGATGTGTTTCAAATTTGACAGTAAAAATTAATTAGGGGATATCAATTTAAATGAAAATCCTATGTGTGGTTATGGCACAAGTTTTGTTCACAGATGGATGGACTGGACGTTAAAAAAATTAAACTAGCAACAAACGAAAACAGAATCAGGGACCCCAAAAATGTCCATTTCGGTCAAAAATCTCAAGATATATCTTTTTTAGCATTACATAATTTTTTCTAAACTATGAACATGAGAAAGCAATACAACTGAGTTCTACTAACCCTGATTTAGTGAATAGTTCTCTTTACAAGATCAGTTACAAATACATATAATTAAAATTCCTCCTTAACTATCGAAATAATAGTCAAAACTTTTACTCACATTAATACAAGAATTCATTAAAGAGATCAAAACAGCACTGACAGATGAAAAGAGGTTTCTTTACCATTTCCTTTAGATATTCAATCTCAGTGGAAGTATATTAATATTTTTATAATAAATTCCAATATGCATTTAAAATTGTATGTATCATTCAAAGCAAGGTTTTCCGAAGTCACAAAAAACTAAAACATACATACTCTTTGCAAAAATCTACTCTGATCTACCTTAATTTCTACTACAATACCTTGATCTCTTGTCACGGCTGCGAGACCTCGACCTCTTCCTGTGTTCTCTGGAACGTGATCTTCTCCGCCTATCCTTGTCCCGTTCTCCTCTGTCCTTTTCCCTCTCTCCTCGTTCTGAAAACATCAATCATGTTAAATTCACTAGCATATATGAAATAAATAGAAAATGATTGGAAATAGCCCTGGTTAAACAATATATCAAGAGGTTTTTGAATACTTGCTTTGCCTCAATAAATGAGCACAAACACTTAACATTTTCCCTAATGTTTACCAGTTTTTATATACTGTTTTGTTTGAATATGAATTCTGAAATCATTAAACTTGTAACAATTACTGGAATAGTGTTGAATCAGTAACAATGGACATTTTAAAAAGTATAAGCCCCGGTTATGGCTACAGTGAAGAAATTCATAGTTTCCTCAAAATTCCTGAGCTCACGTACTTTACTCATGTGAAATTCACTAGTCAATTGGCTATTTTTCCAAACAGATGCCTTACTAAAAAATTGACAATTTTTAATGTCTTAATTTATTTCAAAATCCCGATTCTGTTCTAGTGGCGGCTACTTCAAAATTGCAAGATGTTGGTAAGGGTATCATTAAATCTAATTTTTTTTAGAAATAATCTAATGATACATGATTAAAAATTACAATGTCTCTTAGAATAATTTTTCAGAGATTAAATAAAAGTCTACACTACTGCCAATTAACACATTTTAATACGGTCAACAAAGCAGTTTCTCTCTTGGAAAATCAATATATTCCTTTTTTAAATTTTTGTATCGATCCTTACAACTGTACGACATTTTAAGTAAAAATTGTAAAGGGACCGAAGTACAAAAGCACAACATAGAACATGCCTTAACAATTCATTCTTCGGCGCATTCTCGCATGTTCGGCCGGTCCGTCCATTAACTTCAGAAATGGCTTGGAGCTTATAGGAATATTAGTAAACCAATAATTATTTCACTTCTAGAATTTTTACCATAATCCCTCGCAATAAAAGTCGTTTTTTATCCTCAAACATAAAAACCTTGTTATTACACGGAAATATTCCGCCAACACATTATGGCTTTCCTGACTGCCCGGCACATTTCTCACGAACATATTCAACCTACCTCCTTTATTTTCTTCCCCCATTCTTGCTTATGGATGTGCTCTTCCTAACGAAGATTTCAATGTACTCGTTTCTAGAGCTTATTAACACTTTCAATCAGTACAGCCGACAGAAGCTGTAAACTACTACGATGTAAGCAATTCTAGCAGAACAACAAGAACATGGCGTCTTCAGGCGTCTTCTTTGCGCCCTGCTTGCGTTCGACCGCTCCCATCATCCTGGCAAGGACCACCAATGCGTTCAGAAATGGATACGTGATTTTGTAATTTATTTGTCAAAGTACTGAAATAAAACACGTATTTTACAAATAAATAGATATATTTTATAAGAAATGAATAAAACAACTTATTTGTTTAAATTTATTACTTTTGCAATTCCTTGTCTTTTGGCTATTTACTAAGTTAGGCAACATTGTTCTAATAAATCACAGAAAATAACAAATGAACGCTTATATTGTGGATATTTTGGAAGTTTAGCAAGTCTGGTAGGTGAATTGGGCGATATTTTAATTTTACAATTACCATTTTTCACTTTGAAGAACTTTCCCTCCAGAAATATTCTCTGATTAACGATTTGGCAACGTAGTATTATGGTATGTCAATGAGTGTGAGTGTATCCATACTATCTGTACTACAAAAATTGGTCGTGTAGTAGTGTGTTGGTGTAGTGGGTGGTAGTGGTTGATACACGCGAGAATGGATCGAATGAAAACACTGGAAGAGGAATTGAGGGAAGCGTCATGCATTGGCGATATCGAAACTGTCGAGGAAATTCTAGCAACTGGCATTAATGTAAATGCGAAACATGAAATCAATGGATGGTAATGTTTTTAAAAGTCCAATTTTGTGTCAAATCGAACTCTGATGATGACATTTTATCATGTTGTGTTTCGTGATTTTCCTTTTTGTAATGGACATGTTACATTCTAGATTTGTGAACATTTACACACTTCATGTGTGATTATGGTTATTCATATTTTATGAACCATCTCGAATTTTTTCATAGGACTGCATTACATTGGGCAGCAAAACGAGGCCATAAATCTATAGTAAATTTACTGCTCGCGAATGGTGCTGATGCAAAGGCTCTAACGAATAAAGGTGAAACTCCGGTTGCTCTTTGCAATAATCCAGAGATTTGTCAATTACTGGACCCTGGATGTGTAAATCCTGCACCATGTGAACAGCCATCACTTCCTATTACTCCACACTATCTCAAGCACACATCTTTAAATGGAATAACTAGTAGAAAAAGTTCTAGTGTGGATGTTACAGGTAGCAACTCAAACTGTCAAATGGCATCAAAAAGTCACTGCAACTGTTCTCTTCAAAATGAAGGTAAAACAGTTCTTGATACATTATTTATGAATTCATATCAAGCAATTCAATGCTATCTTATGCGATTTTGTAATTTTATTTCCAGAAATTGTTTTAAAAGTTCGTCTAGCCAATACAGGAGATCCTGACTTCATTGAAGTAGAAATTCCACGGAAAGAACTCACCTATTCTCGATTACTACGTGTATGCTGTGAAGAATTAGGTGTGAATGCCACCCAAGTTCTTCGAATTCGCAAGCTTCCAGACACGCTAGTGAGGAAAGATAAAGATGTTCAAAGATTTCAGGACTTTCAAGAAATTGAAATGGTTGTAGCGTCAGCATCTGGGAAAAAAATTGTCCCAAATAGTAATGGATTAATACCAGGATATGGTGGAACAAATGTTAATGGCTATCAATCAATCTCCCTCTATAAAAACCAGACAATTCTGTACTAACTATCCATCCTTGCCAAAGAAAGTTAATGCACAAAATGGATTGAAGATATTGAATACTCCAGTCATTCCACTACATTTCACCAAGAGGCAAGCTCTATATATAATAATATATTCAAGGTGCTTTGAGAAAGGTATAGGCTTTTATTTTTTTATTTTATTTTTTTTGTACAGTTGTGACAAAAGTGAATGGCTGACTTTCCTGTATGTCCTTGTTTAAACACTGCACATTTGGCACTCAAGATTTTTTAGTATTCTTTTTGAAAAGCACCAATTGTAAGACAATAAGTTTGGTGGTGTTTTAGTTGTTGTGATAGTTACTATTAGTTCTTTAGTTCTGAATTATACTGTGTATTATATTGTGTATTGCAATTAACGTTTTAAAAAGAAATGCCTCTGTTTACAAAATAGCAATTACTCATCATTTATAAATAAATCAAATAGTGTGAATGTATTTAATGCAAATTAATATGAATTTTCTTATGGGCTTCAACAGAATTTTATTTCATGGAGACATTTGTGAATCTAGTCAGTAATATTGTAAGATTGAATTTCAATACTAATATTTTTAATTATTTTGTAATCCATGGTGAGAAGTGATGTTTGATGGCTAGTGGCATGGTGAAAGAGGTATTTTGCTTTGGCTGTTGATTTTATTACAGAATTAACTGGCAGTATTTCATTGCATGTTATTTTTTTACTTTTGTCCCAGTAAGAATTCACTAGTATGATTAGTGGTAGACGGATTTTGATGACTTAAAACGTCACCAAAAATGATGAATAAAATGTTATTGAACTGTCCTTTCAGCAAAGAAAAATGATGTACATTTTTTTTTTATCAAAACCAGTTCAGATGAACAACTCCAGAGAGTATATAACAACTCAAGCTTGGAATATGTCACTGATGTAATAGTCTTTTTCCTTTGTTCAAGTGCACTCAGCGTGCAAACAGTTGGTTTGGGCTATTTTTTTACCTAGGAATCTCTATCTTTAGTTATCACAAAGTCGGCCAAACCATGAATGGTGCTGATAGGCATTACACAAACCTTAGATTACAAACTCACAAGAGCTGACATTACAATTTCTGTGCGAGGAAATTGAATAGGTTACTCAGGAATTCTATGGAGATCATTTGTTACATCACATACTTATTTTTTGAAGGAAGTATCATTAAAATGATTTAAAATCAACGAAATTAGTGAAAAATGCTTTAAAAATGACAGAAGAAAGTAAAAAAGCACTTATTAGTAGAAATCAATGAAAAATGGGGGGGGGGGTGTTACATAAAAATGGGTAATTTCCTTTCATTATAACAAAAAATTAATGTCTGTACTAAAAGTCATTGTTCTTAAGTGAAAAATAGAACATTTCATTGAAATCCACCTAATGATTAGAATACTGGAGAATTTTTTTTTTTTGAGTCATTACTGAAATGAAGTTACGATCTGAGGATTAATATTGCTCTCGTATGTAGTTTCATATTACTTGGAGAATTGTTGGGATTAGGAGCTGTCCATAAATTGCAGAAAGCTTTTTGGTGTGAAGAAAGATGGAGAGCTGTCTTAGAAAGACTGTATTTAAAATTTTTAATTGCTAATAGTATGACTTGTTCTCCATTGGAATTCCATATTACTTGAAACCTTATTTTCAGCAATATGAGGAGGCCAAGTTCATAGCAAAACTAAAGACCATTTTAGGAGAAGAAAAGCAACTGATAACAGGGAACACAATTGTAATAAAAAAAGGAATGTTAATAATTTGCTTGTTTGTGAATGAAAAGAGAAAGGAAATAAAAAGAGTTGAACTCGTGGATTTTTAAGGGCGAAAAAATCCTTCGTACGCCTTCCTTCGGAGGGGAAGTAAAGCCGGCTGTCCCATGTTCGTAGATTTACTTGCATGTAAATGATCCTCAAGCCTAAATGACGCCTCTGAGCTAAATTCAAATCACCTGTTTCTCGCCCAAGAAATACCTCCTTTCTCTCCTAGTTGGTGAAAGGAGCGTAGCGAAATTTGCGTGGTCAGACGGAAGAGCGGGCCTGATGGCCCGAGTCTCGCCACGTAAAATAAGGCAAATTCAATTAAAAAAAAAAAAAAAGAAGGCTGTGGGAGTACCTGCCATATAATACTCTTTGGTACCTGCAACCAAAACAATTCAAGACTGGCCAAAAATGAAGCCTGAAGAAAAGTTGGCATTCAATAAAATTATGAATTTAAACAATACATTATTATTTATGTTGGGTCTTGACACACAAACCATTGAAGCACATTGTGAATCTGACTGGTTTCCTTTATTTTGTACTGGCCATAAGAGCCGCACCCAAATGAGGGACAGCAGTGGCAATTTTGTTGAAATATTACATTGGCAGAATTTATGAACAACCCCAAAGAATAATTTTCACTGCTATGTACACAATGCTGTGCGAGGTGAAAAATTCATGAAATTGGCCACTTGAAAAAATATGAACAATTTAATTTTTGTGCATCACTTAGGTAATTCTCATAAGTGAATAAAACCTTACTCTGAGAAATTAAGGAATGAATGACAATATATCATTTTAGTCATAAGGTTAAAGACATCTAAATATTCAATAATATGCTGCAGTAATATCTCTCATACTGCTACCTCATCTATGGGTACTGAAATTTTTTTCTCTCATTCTTGGTGCTCTGGGCAGTTGCTCACACATGTGACACCTGTGTATCAAACTGTTTGTCCTTATGTAACATTTTTATTTTTTGTATGTAACAAAAAATTAGAGCAAAATATAATTATACATCACACTCGCCAATAAAGATTCCTCATTGCCTTATATAGTAACTTATTATAATGCATTACCACTGTGTAATTAGGTGCGAAGAACATAAAATGAAATTACTAACAAATTGCATATATGCTTAAACAAAACATCTTTTATTGTTTTACTAAGATTGTTGACTAAGGATGAATGAAAAATAAGATGAACTCATTGCAGTAAATTAAAATTCTTTATTCATCAGGGAACAGCTGATATTTATGTGGGTAAGAATAACTAATAAAAAAAGATTTTCAATTCTGTAGTACATAAAATCATTCATTGTTAATAAGCAAATGAAAAAATAATTAACTGTGTTCTTAGATTAATTGAACACCATTAAAATATGTCTTAACCTCCAGTTGTTTATGAATTTGTAAACTTATTATGCATTATTAAGTTAATATGATCTTTAGAAAAATATTACCTAGTACTGCAAGATGAAATTGCAATGAGGCTGGTTACTCATTTAACAGTATGCCTGAAATATATTATGCAACTAGTTAATAATATAATGCTTTATTGCATAAGAATTTTTTTAAAAATGAGCAGTGCTGGGAGCAAATTTTCAAATGTACATGAATGCAATAAAGTAATATTATAAATAAGTTGCAACACAATTTTTTTTTTAATAATAGCATTATAAATTTATAAAAGAAAAAAATTAATTTTGGAAACAAATTTCAAAAACAGTGTGGCAATTGACATCATAAGAAGTTGGTATTATGACCTCACGCAGGGGGGATGGACAGACGGTGAGGAAGAGTTCTGAGAATGGTTGGGACTCCTGGCGGAGGGGACAGTTTATGGCCTGTGCCATAAAATGCCCTTTTATGAACTATTTCTTGCAACAGAAATGGTCATTTATAATTCTGGTGTATAAAAAAAGAATGTTATTCATCTTCCAGGTATGCTTCTGTTCTCTATTTCTTTGTTACAAAATATTCAGCTTTAAATGTCACATATGAATTTTATCAGATTTCTGACAATGGGCTCCAAGAAATATGTTAATTGCATATTGGAGCAATGAACAAATATAAACTTTATTTTATTTCTTTATTCCAAATAGACTTCTACCATCAATAATATTTAAAGAATACATATAAGAATTTTAAGTTTTTGAAAAGGAAATACACGAACTATGTTAAAATTTCAGTAACGTAAAACTTGATGATCATACAACAATTATTTACACTTACAACATGTTAGGTTACTGAAAAACATTTGAATACTTAATACTTTAAATTTACACTGTGTTGACAATATCTCATACTGCAACATGCATACTTTTAAGTTGATTCAAATTAAATCCTTTTTTTATTCTTGTTCAATTAGTGTTAGTTTAAATAAAATGAGGCATTGGAGATAAATAATTTGTAGTCCCAATATTACATATTATAGAAAGAATCATACCTGATATAAGTTCTACAGATTTCACAGCTCAATACACCAAAACAGCCGGAGAAGACTCTAGAAAGGTCGTATTTAATTATGTGCTAGTCTACGGTGTACTAAATTGGCAATCTTGTAACCATAAAAATGTTGTAAATATAATTTTAAACTCCCACTTTTAAATTGTGATCAGTTGATCCATTTATGAACTGTACTGACTAAATAAAGAAAGGATCCACAACCATTTTAAACAGCACAAAATAGTATTTATGTCAGGAGTAACTCTTAGAACGTATGAGATATATTTATTATACTAAGACCTAGATTTCTCCTCTTTTTGTTCCTGCACATTTTACAGCTAACTGTGTCACATTCTAGGTAATTATGATCACTATTCCTTTATGTCTAATTCAATCTCTCACTTTGTTACTAAAGACCTTGTGTTACCTCAGGGGCAGATTCAAAGACGATTTTGGGCAGGGTAATTCAAAATATTTGGGTCAAAGGTGTCTTATTACAGATTTTGTAAAATGTCTTAGGCTGCAACACAATTTTATTTGTATGAATGATTATCCAAAAATGTTTTTGCTTGAAAGTTTCGTGACAAAATTAATAGTTACTGAAAAATTAGGGGGAGGGCGGATTTCCCTTATTTCTCTCCCCATAGATCCGAGCCTGGTTTCCTTGAATTGACACTTCTTGGAGCACATTGCTGAATATGCTCCAATACTCAGATAAACGATGTTTGGCCAAATTGCATCAATTAGAGTATCAGAGTGGAGAATTCAACTACACATAAAAACTAGGATTTTTAGCATCATAAAATTAAGAGCTTTGTTTTCAGAAATAAGTTCTGTACAATTTCCATTGAAAGTTGAAGATTTTATGTTTAAATAAAATTAACTTTTGTTATGAAAGCTTAATATGTGTGTTCAAAATGTTGAGGAAAGACCACTTATTTGCAATTAGAGGCTACATGCTTTCGAACAGCACCTGAACGTTTTATGTATGCACATCTTCAAGAGAAATATATCTGATAAATTCACTAAATGCTGTTTAACATAAATTACTCTACAGAGGCCCAGTAATGTAACCTAACCTTCATTGAATGCCACAGCTAACTATGAAGAGTTAGACCTTTAGCTTATTCTGAATCCCATTGTTTTGATTTGGTTAGCAAGTTATAATTAAAACTTTCAATTAGGGAAAATCTTAGATGATGTAAAATGTTATTTCATTTGTAAAGTTAAATGCAGAAAATTTGCAATTCAAAAAGTGGATTGATTTGATAAACAGTGTATTCCAATATCAAACCATACCAAGTCTACTTACATACAAAAGCTGTAGATTTGTAACAGGTAATTCATTTTTGTCAGTTCTTAGAACATAGGAATTAATAACTTATCTTTATGTAATGTTCTTTCCGATTTAAACCTTATTTTTACTGTTTATATATTGATGCACATTTGTTATATGAACTTTTATATTAAATGTGAAACATAAATCACGTTTGTAATTAATTTTATTGACTTGCATCGGCCCATGCACCCTCTCCTTTATTTATGTGACACAATAGCTGAAACCTCAGCTTGACACAGCTCATCCCAGACAGACAAGAATGAAATTGAGTCCACTTCCTCTATCCCCCATACTTAATACAGAGGGAAAAAAAAAAAATATCGAGAAGCTGGTACAGACAGCTCTAAAAGTACTATAAAGAAAGTTCTGTTGTGCTCCGAATATCAATTTTGACATTTGAACGGGAATACATGTTTTGGGGGCCCTGAAACCAAAAAAAGTATGTTTACTTTCATATGTATGTACAGACCACACGGTGAAATACACGAAGTGTAGAGAAAGTTCTGTAAAGTTGTTGTGAAAAGTGCGATTTCTTTCTTTCTGATGGAAGAACTCATTTCATTCCTCGCTGATAACATACACAAGGATTTTTGTTCTTGTATGTAGTAAATTATTTTCTCTAATTCCTCAGAATCAACTCTTGTGGTTTCTTAATACCAATAAGGCAGTTTTTTTATGTTCTCACATACTGTTTCTATACAATCAGAGACTACTGATTATCAAAAAGAAAAATAATGTTTATTTTATCAAAACAGTGATATGTATTGAGTTACTTTACATTTGTATTGTATAATTTTGTTAAAAAAAGGACCTAATATGTTTGTAACAAATAATGTACTTCAGCTTCCGGGTAAATGACCCGCATCTCGATCATGTTTTTGTCCAGTTTCTCTGATCCACTGAGCAAATGCTAAGATTGCCCCTTGTTTTGCTTCTGGGCGTAAATGTACCTTCACTATGCCCACATTTTGTTGAACTCTCCTTTGCTTGTAATGGTGAGAGTAGAGGTAAGGGCGAGTTACTATGTCGTTAGCAATGCAGAAAAATCACACTTGCAATATAATTAGCAATTCGTATTATTGCTAAATAAAACGAGTATTATAAACCATACTTGCAATATCATAGCAATTCGTTTACCAATGCAAATAAGTTTTCTATAACTTGGAAACGAAAATGTCTATTTTTTCAAATATTGCTAATTTCACACTTTTTTAAATTTATTTTATTTTGTTTATTTTAAACTTTTGCTCATCTTCATCTATTTATAGTTAAAATGATGGGAAGGGATTCTGGAATTCAAGAAAACGTTAACGAAAACGCAGTTAATCTCCCCCATACGTCACAAAGTTTTTATTGCTTTTTTCTTGTCTAAATAAATCCAAAATCTAAATCTACTGACATGTGTACCCTAGAGTGTCAAATGTTTGCAGGGAGATGAAAATTCCACCACTTGAGACTATCTCTTATTGCGACTCGTGGCAGCTGCGATACAATCTAGTCACGTCGAAGGTTTGGGGATGCAGTTTTTTTTTTTTTAACGACGGGGGAAATGCATTTACGCACCCTCGACCCAGACTCTCATGTCCAGGTCGATTCGTGTGGGACTCATCTATAGACAATACCCACAAAAACCCTACATCCCTCGCCCCACCTATGGAACCGTCGTCAGGCATTACTTCGTTAAGTGGGGTGGCGGGGCTATTCTAGCCCTCCTTTACGCCTTTATTGGCTTCTACTTCTCGCATGCTCTTCAATTCTGAGGCAACGTATGACCCGGGCAGCGTACATTACAATTGCGGCCCATCTCTCTTCCATGGTCATAATCAGTGGTATGGTGTTCTCCAGTGTCAGGCGCTGTTGTAGGATTTCCTGCAGCTGGTCTCGTTCTCCTGAGAATCGCAGGAAGTTATACACCACATGCTCCACATCCTCCTCCTGTCCTGGGCAAGCTGGACACGTCGGGTCATCATCGAGTGTTTCTGTTTCGTAAATGCAAAACTTGAAGCTCTTTTCCACATAACTGGTTTAAGTTTCAAATCACTTCATTTGAAGCACTTCCACTTACAAGTGCAATAATGTAAACAAATTGCTGGAAATGTGAACATTAACGGCATAAAAAAAATTACATTCGTGTATTATGTGAAAAAGCAAAAACAGCAAAATTAATTTTGTCATCTTAAACCATGCAATTAGCACTATCTGTATGAAAAGTTTGAAGAAAAAATTTGGAGCAATTTTTTGAGAAAATTGTGTTTAAAGGTTTCTTAAAATGCAAAATTTTCAGCTCATTTTCACAGAAAAGCTTGGAGTTTTTGAGAAACTTTATAAGACATTATTTAAAGAATATGTACTCACATACGCAACAGTGTAAAGAAATTGCTGCGAATGTCAATAATGACAACTTAGAGGCTAGGCAAAAAATTTACATTTTTTGTAATTTTTGAAAAACAAAAGAAAAAAAGCTAAATGGCATTTATGTGATCACATAGCGTACACTTAACACTATCCCTACCAAAAGTTAGAAGAAAAAGTTGAATAAGTTTTCGAGAAAATCTTGTTTTTGTTGTCATTTAAACATATTGTGATACACATATTACATGCAATATTGCGCAAAAACTACTAAAAGTTTACAAAAGTGATTATGAAAATTAAAAAAAAATTACCTTATTAAAAGAACTAAACTATATATGGAGAACACATTTCATTTGAAGGAATATCTCTATTAAATTTTGTAGTTGAAGGAAAACCCTGAAAAAAATTCAAAGATTTGAAATGTTTGAATATTCAGTGTTAAATCTGAAAATCAGATCCTGGACAGACCAATGCCTCCTTTATAAGTGTTCTTACTTTATCCACTTTTTCAATCAGGGCACGACAATGAATTTTTTCTGACGAAAATCCAACACTTTTTGCGAGAACCATTACATTGCTTTCTCTCTACTAGGTTTATACGTATGTATATGAGAAAGGAAAAGAAACTGTAAGGATCTCGTAATGCTGTTATTACAGAGATCCCTACATTTCCATTGTACTGATATTTTTGCTGTATAGTACTACTAAACTCATACTATGTATTGCAGTTAGAGTCCATGAAATATCTTTGTGGGCATCTCAACATTTTTGACGTTTCATCATTGAAAGATAGCTTAAATAAAACATCTGAAACAATGAAAGAAATAATTTACTAGATATCTTAAATTTTATAATTAATCTGCAACATAAAGCAAAATTATTGGAGTGCAATTCTATTACACCTCACAGGAGAAAATTAGAAGAAGGCTTACTATTTTGAGTTTACCCTTTTATTACAACAATAATATAATACAATTTCAAACATCATGTAGAACATTTTTTTTTTTTTGATATTTCAGACAAAAACTGCATTTGAAGTGATTTTTATGTGTAACCCAATTTTGCAATTTAATTGGTTATACCAGGAATATAATGAAATACACCCATTTAAGGATAGTTCTTTTGGATGGTAAAGAACATAACTATATTAAAGTTGTATCCCAGTTTTTATGGCCTGGTAATATCACTTTCTGTTGTATTGTATATCTTAAGAGATATTTTACACAGCAACCACCTTCAATGTAAAAATACAATTCCTTCCTCAAACAGAACTACTTGCGATGTTTCTTTGATTTTTCTTTTCCATTCTCCAAGGGTTGTCTGTAACAGATTTAAATCAAAATATCATGAGCCAATGTAAAAACATCATCCTTTTTTAAATTTAATTTGATGATTATCACAGAAATAATCAGTGCATTCAATGTGATAGAAAAACTTGTACAAATTAATTTAATGGTGCTTCAACATAGTAAACTTTTAAGAAGGGAGACAGTCATGTAAAATTACGGTAATTTAACATAAGCAATGTAATGCTGATATTGCAATTTCTCAGTTTATTAAAGAATCTAAATAGCATAAGTAGAGCACATAATTGATGATAGTATGATCTTGAGAAAAAATGCTTTTCAAGTATGTTAATAACCAATAACTTCAAGTTACGAAAGCCCAATTACTTGTCTGAATAACATTCATCAAAATTCATTCATTGCCTTGGCAATAATTGGTAGCTAGAAGCACTTAAAGCCCATACACAATAAAATAAACATTTTTGTAAACAGTTAAGAATTCAACAATTATTTTAAGCATCCGTTTTACTTATAATGCACTCTACAATCCCTAAGTATAGTCTTGAAAACCAAATATTCTAAAATCCTGAGTTCTTGAGCAGTAAATAAAAAACAGAAATACATATAATTTATAACAACATAGTGTATTTCATATTTCTCTCATCTAATAAATATTAAGCTCTTTATTTTGTAAATTCTTGGTGAAGTAATGTTTCATTGGATATACTGTAATAAGAGTTTTTAAGAATCAACTTTCATCTTAACAAAGTTTCACTGTAACAAAATAATGATCAAGTCCCAACAATTTTGTTTATACTGGCATGTCACTGAATTAGTTTTCAGGCTGTTATTTTTTTCTCATCACATCAAAGTAAATGGAAAATAATAAATTTCAAGAATGATTGAAATTTTGAAAATGTAACACACTGGTTCATTTGATACTAGAATGAATACTACTGATTCATAGAAAAACTTGTTCTCTCTGAAATTCTCTACTAAATCTGTGTCATAAATTGGAACAAGCACTATGGTAGACGAGATAGAAATATTTACCTTGACTGCCAATCTTTCAGATATGCTTCCTCCAATGCGTTGATACCAGATTTTGTCAGTGGACTATCACTGCTATCCATATGTCCTTCTGTTAATTCAGGCACAACTTCTACATTGGCAGATCCCTGTAAGTGTAATTGTTAAAAAAATACCATACAAATGTGGGAATATTACATATAATACATTATAATGTGAAAATTGGTGTAAATGAATGAATAAATAAATATTCCATATGTAACCTCTGTAATTCTCATTACTTACGTTTTCTGTTTCCAGCCGACGCCGTTTTGTTTGCTTAACAGACTGCTCATCCTCTCCTTCAACTTCAGAGTCACTTCTATACAAATCATCCACAGTAAATTCGAAATCAGATTCATCTTCAGCATCTTTTAACCTGCCAGCCTTGGCTCTCTTCTTGTCTCGTTTGGCCTTAAACCTTTCCTTTCTAAGTTCTCGTTCTCTCTACAAACATTAACATAAATTTCACAGTACAGAACTTTAATTTTTGACAGAACTCTCAATATTGTGAAACACATTACATATCTTTGGACTGAAATTGCCCTAGTGCATGTAAACCACAGAAAAAGTGCTCTGTTCCATATTGACTCAGTGCACACATGGTTTAAAAGAATACCACATTATGTTAGAAGGATCAGATGTGGATTTATCACAAATTTTTCACAAAAGTCACTGAAACATGTAATCATGTCACAGGAGTCATGCAATCATGTCCTAGGAAAAAGGATATGTACTATTAAAGTACGCTAGAAAACACATTATCAAGGTTAGAGAATTTTAGTAATCTTACGTAAAAATAAAGCACTTTCAAGGAAATCTAATCTACTTATTAACTCTCAATTATGAACTACAACAATAAAAATAAAGAAAATGCAAAAGCAACAAAAAGGTTTTGCCACAAATAGTATCGAACAGGAAAATTTAATTAGAGTAACGCTCATCTCTGATATCTACACCAATACAAAAGTAGAGGAGAGCATACAAGAACTTACAACAAGATACGATCAAAAAGCAATAGGACTGATTTTCTGTAGGCCACACAAACCGATGAAGGGGAGTCAGACTGGCTGAGCCTCTCACAATCACAACGCGACCTTCCACAGTAGCCGGCGTGCCTTTAGGAAGTAAGCACACTTTTTCCCGTGAACCACTGTTAAGAAGTGTTGTCACTCGCAGCATTGAATGGAATCTCGAGCAGCACTACAGCATGTTTTGGTTCAAACTTGGAAAAATCGCCACAGTATGATCAAGCAAACCTACGAGGATGCTGCCACAAGCAGCTCAAGGGTTTTCAAGAGGCACAAGTTTTTCTGTGAGAGGAGGGATCTCATCAGTGATGGCCAACATGCCAGTCACCCATCAACATCAAACTGTGAATGCACAGTTTTATGTGGAATTGCATGAACGGTTGCAAAAATGAGTCAACAGTTTGCGAGCAGACATCGCGCCCATTCCTGGAAGCTCCACCAAGACAATGTCCCTTCCCACACTGCGCTGTGGGTGTGGATGCAGCTGGGTCAGTAAAGCGTTTTCATGTCATCTCCCCCCCACCTCTCTTCAGCTCAGACATGGCTCGGCCTCTTTTCTTTCTTTTCTCTTGCCTCAAACAGGCCGTAAAGGGACAACGTTTTGACTCCATTGAAGACATCCAAGGAATTGAAATGAGGACTCTAAACAGCACATCAGCCAATGACTTCCAGCAGGCATTTGCGGCTTGGCAGATGCATTATACTCTGAGTCGATGCACAAGGGTCCTACTTCAAAGTTTATTAAGGATCTGTACAGATATGCACAATAAATTATTTTTAATAAAATCAATCCTACTACTTTTTGATCCCATCTTGTATATGTTCAAATATGTAAGGCACTACAATAGCAATATGCCAGGCATAACAAATCAGTAAGCACAAATAACCACTTCTTAATCTTTCACAAAAACCATAAATTTGGATTACTTAAATAGTTATGGAAACTAGTGTGCCTGGTGCTTAAGATGGCAAGTACTTTCCAGTTGACAACATAAAGTGTGCAATGCAACTTCATATTAAATAGAAATTTAAGAATCAATAAAGTTGTCTGGTTTGTCTATTTTCAGACGCAGAGTTACATGAAAAAGTATCAAGTGAAAGATTTAAAAAAAAATGAGTTTTTCATTACACTAGTAGTATTAATTAGCATCAAAATCATGAATAATACAATACAATACAATACATGAATTTACACGGTTTCAAGGATCAGCACTCTAGGTCCCTTAAAACACACAAAAACATGTTTCTTCTAAACTTCTTTCAGAATATTCTAGAAAGACCTGACTAAAAATTTACAAAACTTGTTTTGATTATCATCAATCTGATGCATCAAGACAATGGTTTGTGTAAATGCCACAAAGTAAGTTTAGTAATTCATAGCATTTCATCAGTGTTTTCTTAGGTCCATTGAAACCATAAAAAACAGAGAACTCTAGAATGTTTCCAAAATATTCTAGAAAGAACCACTAAAAATTAAGCAAGTCAATTTGGCTTGTTGAGAGGTATGAAATCAGCTCCTAATCACCCCTGAACATACTATAAATAACCCAAAACATATTTTAATTGCTTGAAAAAGCAAAAAATAGTGTTTTCTGAGAAATATTTAAGAATCTTCTGAATGGAACCAAAAAGATCAGTTCCCCACAGGAGATCAAAACATGACGAATGACATCATTTAATTGGTAGACTGGAAGACTATGAATTTCAGATGGACAGACACAAGTTAGCCAACTTCTATCTAAAGATATTTCATCACCTAACATAAAACTCATTTAAAATTCATATCATGTTTGCTTAAAAAGTATATTATAACCAAACTTACCTTCAATTGTTCTCGTTCCATTTCATCAAGTTCTTCCTTCTCAATAATCGTAACTTTACCACCTGGTGTAACAATAATTGTTCCAATTCCATCTAATTCTCCGGTGTGTTTTACGAAGGCCTTAGGTCTTAATGGTTTTACTACTGGTTTGGCCACCAAGCTATCTTTCTCTGGAAATCATATTGTTTGCTAAGTTAATTAATTTATTCTGAGCAGTATTTTAACTATATCAAAATCTCTAAATATTAAAAATATCTGACAGCATGAATGATGTACTGTTTAAATCATCTTATTACATAATTAGCAGCATAGCTTAATTTTCAAGAAACTCACTTGTTGACAAGTAGAATGGAACTGGAATTGTTTTTGCACCCTTTATCATAAGCTGCAGAACATTATCCCATCCTCCAGGAAATTTTTTTTTCAAAGATTTAGCAGCAGCCATAATATTTTCACATATCTGTTTGGGTGTCAAGAGATTGTGGGCAACCTGAAAATTGTGTAATGTAGAGTATTAAATACACAATAATTCAGGATTACATGAAAATGTTGATTATAACAATTGATGTTTTGATTTTACTTATTGATTGAATTCCTTTTCACCAGAAAAAAAGGAAAGAAAGAAAAAAGTAATATCTTTGTGAATTTAAAAAGATAAATGGCATTCTTTGGCACTACAAATTGCAAAATTGTTGCACAGTAAATGACAATAATTCGAACATACAAAATGCGAACTGTCAATACCTCAGAATATTTTCTGATAATAAAAGAACAGTAACAAACAATAATTGCATTAATTACAGAATACTCTAAGTAAATTTCTTGTAAGTGGCAAGCAATGTTCATACATTATTAGATGTTGCACACGCAACAATGCATGTGCCTCCAAACAAAAATACAGAGAATTATCAGACATTGAGCCATTAGGGTATTTTCACTCTCTCTACTTAATTTTATGTTGTAGAGTGACAAATATCCCAAAACTCTAATTCTCCAAGTAATCATTATTTGAAAATACTAATAACAATATGCAAAATTATGACAAAATATAAAAGCTAAGTAGAGAGTTGCTACATAGGAAACAGTTACAGACTATCTTGAAAATTGTTCTAACAATAGTAATGAAAACATTGACCACTTTGATATGCAAAATGAAATAGAAGATAGTAATATTCATTAAAAGAGTTTTCTGACAAACAATTACACTAATGCAAAACTACAGAAAATACTTCACATCTGCAGTGACAATAATTTTAATGTTTGGTAAAGCATAAGGGAAGAAGGTGTGTAAAAGAAAGAATCAGTTAGGTATTGAATTTAACTAACTTGAAAATAAAAATCATATGTAAAAGCAACAAACATATCTGGAGGCAAATACATTGATAAAGATCTCCACAACCAAGATTTTTGCAAAAATCTCTTATTAATGTAGCCCAGATCACAACCGTAATGCTTGCAACTGTTACTGTTAGGTATGTATACATTTTGATGGTTTCCTCGATTATTTCCTAAACATTTCCTCTAGTTTACATCTGCCAAGCAGAGCATGTGAGATGGTAAGGGCATGCCTACATGGGCATGCTGTGCACAGGATAAGGAGAAGTAGATGCTACGATTTCACAGAGAAAAATGCTAGAAAGATCAAGAAATTATGGTGGAACACAAGAACAAATATATCAAAATTTCAGTTCGAGTGTTTAAAAAGTACTTCGAAGAAATTATGTAAAATTTGTCTCTCAAAAATAATACTTCCGTAAGTGGATTTAGAATTAAAAATTGCAAAAAAAATTAGTAGGCAGGATTTATCCTTCTAAAAATATGAGGCAGATAATTTAAAAGTAGAGAAAGGGAAAAACAAAACAACACTATTTTTCCATCTGTAGAAACCAGTTAAAACTAACAGTGCCATTGTATCATATAATATTATAATATTAATTGAACCCATCCCAAGTATTATCAGCCTATGAAAGAAATTGATTCTAATGACATGTCATCTTTTCATTGGTGCATTCTAGACATAACTAACTTGAAAATGAACTTTGGTTACGACCTACAGGTAATAGAAATGTTTAGTTATTAGGTCATTTTTTGTTATTTTTCAATTTTTAAATCATATTTTTGGACCTTTGCATAATTTTTGACATTATTACACATTGTTTCCTTTTTGAGTTTTTTTGTTAGTGAATGTTTCATGAATTTACATTCACACACTAAAACAAAGTTTTTATTGTGTTACCAGTTCTTGACAAAATTTACTACTACTACTACTACAGTGCACTCTGTTTTTTGAACTCTCAAAATTACATGGATCTTCAGTAACTTCCTCGACTTTCATATCTGACAGTTGGAAGAATAGAACTAAGGATTACATTTCCTCCTAAAATAAAGCTTTTATATTAAATATAAATGTATATAAATATGTATGTAATAATAAATTTTATTTAAAATTGTAATATTTCTTGCATAATAATCATAATTTTCAGACAAAATTCTGAGTATAAAAAAAAAGTTATTTTTCCCTCATTTTTTAACCCATTTTCCTCTTATTTTTAAGTAATTTTATAGGCCATATTCTAAGAATTTTCAGATCATCAGAATGTAACCCCTGCTCATTATATCAAAACGTTTCCAACAACAAAAAGAAAGTTGGACCTTTGTCATGTTATTCAGTTAACGTGGTTGTATTTAAGAAAAGAATTAAAACAAAAATTTATATAGGATTTTGAGAAAATCGTGTTGACACTTAGTCCCAATTTCATTCAAGCTTGTGGTTAGTACATGTTACAAATAATTGTACATGGCATTATGCAATACATATTGGAACTAATTATACATGATATTTGAAGATTTAATTTTATTAAACAGATTTCATTATTATGTTGACTACCACGAAGTCATCAGCAACCACAGTCATGACTAAGCTGGACACTTTTGAGGCCCATTGCAGCCTCAAGCCCTGTACTGCTCAAAAGGATATACATATTAGTAACACAATCTCAGCTCGCATCCAGATTGTGAATAAAATATAACAGGAATATCACTTGCTTGTCTCATACAACACGGATGTCACTGGGGCTTCTAGATAAGATTTCCAGTTCTTGGGACCTAACTTTATTCTTTTTTCTGGTGTTTGATCAGACATTTTTGACGATCTACTTGTTAATTTTCATTTCTTAATTTTTTATTGAAGCAGATACAGGTATAATTTTGATCAATTATTTTATTTTCTGCAAAATTTACTAGTGTTTTAATATGGTCATATTTATTGTGATGTTTGCTGTTAATTTATAAAGTATTTTATATTTCATGATATATTATTAATTTCATGAAAGCAGAATTATCATACAATCTGATTTTTGTTTCAAATGGAACATGAACAATCATGCAGTGGGAGATTGTACAAAAGCAAACATTAGAAACAAAAGACATGGGTGAGAAAGTTAATAAAAATTTTGAACGAATTAGATGATTTAGAAGAAAGTGACGTTTCTACTGAACCAGGCATGTTTGAAGACATGACTGATGGTAGGAATGATGATTGTAGTGGTGATAATAACAATAGATATTTTAGGAAGTTTTTACAAATGTTAGCAAGTCATTCTCTAGATAACCCGGAATGGTATGATGTCAGTTGTCATTTAAGAGGGATTTTATTCACTGACTAAGCAAAGTGAAAAGCCAGGCCTTATAACTCCCATATGTGGTGGAAACCATTACAGTAGCACGCTCTGCTGCAGCACCCTCTGACTGGAACTTAACCACAAACTACTGCCAACGATACTTAAAATGTGCATGGCTGCTGCGCGAGTTCGCTGGTCGCAGGTAGGCCCAACATGTCACAAAAGATAGCACCGATGTTCGCACTTTTATCAGGGGTTTCTTGTATGGGTATATTATGAATAACTGAACATTTAGAAGACACTTTTCCAATTTCTCACAAATTAGCCAATTTTTATGTGTGGAAGTTGGCGAGCTTTACCTGTAGATGTACTTGGCGATACTAGCGCCTCCTAGAGTAGCACCATCAAGCTTTGACCCCCTGTTTTGATGGAGAGCTTTAAGGCCCAGGTGCAAAGAGTAATCAAGGTTTTTTACAGATAAGCAACTTCAATGATTTTTCCTCACATTTTTTTGATGAAGAAATATTTTATTGTGACTGAGACAAAGGAAGATCATTTGATTGTACCTCAAAGTTAACATTGAATTTCATATGATCTCTTTAATACGAAATGCATAAAATATATTTAGAAAACTAAAAGGGATACATTCATTTTAAGACTGGGCAGAAACAATTAATTTATTAGGGAGTCATGGGCATCACAGCTAGGAAAAAGTCCAACAATATTTTTTGGACTATGGCATATACTGAAATGGACTGCCCAATATTTGATACATTAACTACTCAATAATCCCTTCCCAACACTATTGTGCTAGTGACGCCCATGCTTAGAGTTCCAATACAACAAGAACTATTTCAAGTATCTAGAAACCTGCAAAGATTACCTAGACCTCACATTAAATATCAACAATTAAGCAAAGTCATTGTCTTACAGTAACACAAGAGAAATGTAGGAGAAACACAACTAAGAAAGATAGTAATCAGTAGTGTCATCAAAAGGTAGTTTAAAGGAACCGACATCAGACAATCTGGAAAGCGAGTAAAGTTGTTACTCTGTCAGATTTGCTACAAATCGCCCTGCCCAATTTGTTTCCCCACAAACACTTATCATTCACAATACTTCTAGCTCAGTCACTTACTAGTAACTTGCATCAATATTAATTTGTACTTAATTTTATCAATTCTCTTTTTACTATAATGACATTTTGACAGATGAAGCACAGAACCTTAGCTTGACAAACCAGTTTCTTCATGGCTTTCAGACCAAACTAGATCAATCTAAATGCAAAAGAAATGGATAGAAAGATAAAATAATATTGAGTTATGAAACTAATTCCTTTACAATACAAATAGAATGTAACCGGAATAAACATGTCAGGAGGTATACTCAAACATAATGATATGGATCTTCATCCTCAAGATGTTTGCGAAAACCTCTTATTGTTATAGCACACATCACAACCTGCAAGACATGCTGAAGTTACAGGTAATCAATGTTAAGAATGCACAGAACTCCTAACAAATCCTAAATGATATTTATAACGACATTTGACTACAGATGTATGATTACTGGGCTTCTTTAGAGTCTCTCAAGGAAACTAGTTTCAGCCACAAGAGAAAGCAGTGGATAGAAAGAAACAATCATGCTGAGTTAAGAATCATAGCCTTGTACAAAACAAAGAACACATTAATGCAACAAACATGTCAGGAGGTATACTCAAACATAATGATATGGATCTTCATCCTCAAAATGTCTGCGAAAACCTCTTATTGTTATAGCACACTTCACAACCTGCAAGAACTGCTGAAATTACATCTAAGCAATGTTATGTATGCACAAACCTCCAAAGAAATTCTTAATTGCACAATAGTTACTTTCCATCATATTGACAATTTATGACAAAAATTGTGCTACCACAATACCTCAATAAATACTTCATGTCTGCAGAAACGGTAACATCTAGGTTGAGTAGGGAACAAGAAAAGGGGAAAGGCAGAAAGAAAGATATCTTTACAATGATTTGTTTTCACGCACTAAAGAAGCTTGCAAAAACCTCTTATTAATAAAGCAAACATCACCAAAGAGCAAGCAAAATCTTTTTATCATCTAAGTGCACACTAAATCACACAAAACACACACACACCTAAACTTAAGTCAATTAATAATAGTGACATTACCTTAAGCACAAATAGAGATCCAGTGTTGTGTACTCGATATGAACTTTTATGTAAAGCTTGTTCAACGCGTTCTTTCAGATTTTTAGCATCCAATTTAATAGGTACTGGAAGCCTACAACATAAGTATCCATTGCATAAAAAATAAGCTATTACAATTTTGTGATTAATATAAAATATCATCTTGTAGTAGTAATAATTAACTAATTAAATATTCCTTTTTTTAATGCTATTGGTCTGTAACTACCATAATGTTAAATGCAAACATTATTGGTATTAACCCTTCCCCCTTGCATTTCTTATTTTGTAGTATCATTTACTAATGAAAATAATTTTAAATGTATCAATTAATTGTAAATCCCCCAGTTTGTCTTATTTTGAATTTACTTTTTATTTAATTTGGTTTACATTTGTAGACTGATGATGACGGCAAAGTCATCAAAAGCCGGGTCTCTAAATAAAGCAATCAAGTTGACAGAGAGAATTCCATTATTTCTTCAGGTTATTATGTCAACAACACTGCATCAGAATTCCCATAATAATACAGTCACAAAACAAAACACAGTAGATTTGTATAATACATACTTCTTTCTGTCATAAAAGGTCTTCCCAATAAGATGGGAAATATGCCCACAGACTTTTGCATCAGACAAGAACACATCAAAACTGTTACACAGTGCCCTCTTCATCTCGTATTGTTCATATTCTGTTTTCAATTGACGTAAAGTAATGACCTATAAAAATTATATAGATATATGTAAGGTTCCAACATGTGAATATTGTGCACAATGGCAAAATAACAAAGGTATTGTGAAAAGTGTACTTTATGACTATCAATTCACATTTCAAATTAATATTATACGAGACAGTTTAATAAGAAAAAATACAAGACTTCCTATACAGTCTATCAAAAAAATAAAAAGGAGGAAATACCTCAGATATTCGGGTGACACCTTTCTCCCTGAGAAGTTCTTTGAAATGTTCCACGGTGGGCGTATGGTCAATTCTTCTACCTTTCTGCAAGTCACTAGTGAATAAACACACATCTGGTGTTTCTGGTAATATGGAATGTGGTAGAGTACTGAAACAATAAAATTTTTAATGTTCAAAATTGATTTTCACCATTATCAATCAATTTTTATAACAAGCTGTAAACAATTCAAGTCTTCAACTAACACATATATTTCAGTAGAATCAATTTGATAACACGTCATAAGTAACAAATAATCAAAGCTTTAAGAACATCTCTTTGCAAAATGTAGATTCTTTATAAGTGCATACTTACACACGAATTTCTCTTGGACTAGTTAATGGAACTTTGAAACTAGTAATTTGAAGGTAAATGTCTTTCCCTTCATCACTAAACAATTTTGTTTTATTATCCTCTAGTAATAAGAGTAGTGCCTTGATAGACTCCATGACCTTTAAGCATAAAAAAGTAAGCACTGTAATAACACTAAGAGTAAAACAGGAATCTCTAAACTACGCATAGATAACTTCATGAATGAGTCATTACAGCATGCAAAACAGTTCTGACATGACAATATGAACAAATATACCTTATCTTCACACAAGTCACTTTTATCATTTCCAACATACTCCTCCTGAAAGAAAATAAAAACAAATATGATTGCACGAACAGCAATAATTCACTTACATTAAATAATATTACATTTGGCTACAAAATATGATGTACAGCATGAACTCACCAATGGGTCTGGTGGACTAGAAATTGGTTCTTTCTTTTTCTTTGTCTTCAACTCAGTATTCTTTTTAATATCTTTCCACGTTACATTACTTTTTCTCATGGCATAACTCAACTTCTTTCTTGATAGAGTCTTAGCATCAGGATCAACTGTGCTTTCTAATTTTCGTAGCTTTCTCTCTGATCTTGATAATTTTACTTTGGGAGCTATTACTGGCGCCCACATTCGTTTCCTTCCAACTTTTCTAGATTTGCGCACTGTTTTCTGCCTCTTATATTTCTAAAATGATTTTGAAACAGATGTTTGAGAGTATAATAATTTGGGTTAAAGTTCTTAATTAATTAAAGTTCTCTGAATCAAAAGTACATACCTTCTCTGAATTTGCAGTTATTTCTTGGTTCTCACTACCTGCAGTAACTTGCTTTCTCAATTTTATCTTTTTTTTGGAAGTATAACGCTTTCTGTAAGGTCTTATTACCTTTCCTGGAAAATTGGAACATTTAATTATGAACTAGCCACAACAGTATTGAAATTATAATGAAACCTTTTTCATAAGTCGGTATTCACAGAAAACTTATAATTTTACGTACCACTTAAACTAATTTCGCGTTTTGCTTTTTTCTCTGTTTTAGTCTTCGTTCCAGTCATGGTCGTTATGCGTTTTTAACAAACTATAAAGTAAAAGATAAATGTATAACGCGAGGAGTCATAACCTCCAACCAACCAATCAGTACATATTTTGTATATTACCTATTCGTATCTATTTAACACTAAAAACTGAAAAGTATACCACAAATTACAAATGCAGTGCAAAATATAATGTTGCTATAATTCACTATTCAGTAATTAAAAAATATAACACACTACTTCACAAATCACCACGTGCACTATTCAACTTTCCATGCATCTCCATAACGGTTGGCTCGCATTGGCTGAGCGTCATTGGCCAATGGCCCTGCACATCCAAGTAGATGAACGACCCGCCTAAAAGAGCCGGTTCATCTCAAAGAACGATCCATGATCATAGAGGAGACATACAACAAATATATATATCTACTCTATGTCCATGAACCGCTCTTTCAAAACGAACCAACTTGAGTCTTGACTAAAGAAATCTAAATCTAAACCAACGAGCGAAAAGCTACTAGCATATTCTCGATCGTTGAGGCAAACAATTTTTTTAAATTTATTTATTTGAAGTCGCTTTTCAACAACTGGGTCATAAGCGACCACGATAATCAATTTATAATTTACACAAGAATACACATTTTTTACAGTTATGCCATTATACAATTACATACAATTCATACAAGCATATAAATGGTCAAAAATATTAATAATGTAGGTACTTACATGCAAACAATATTGAAACGACTCCGACGACGTCACAGGATCATAGGAGGCCGATATCTTCGTATGTTAGACTTTAGAGACTACATTTCTGTCCCAGTTTGAAACGAATTTGGGTACATAGCATAATTATTTTTACATCGTTGGTAAATAAGTGAAACTCAATAGTCTTTTTTGTGCTTCTGAATAATTTTCAACCCGACATATCTTTTAAGAAACGAAAAATAATGTTCATTAATGAAGTTTTACACATGTTCACAGCTATGCGACTGTTTGAAACAAGGAAATAATATGTAATAGACCGGCCGGCACCTGGTCAAGCAGAAGAGAACGAGACCGAGCAACAACTTCGTGTTTTTGATCGTGACAGTTATGCTGACCGCGCCTAATTTATCTGTCGATAATTCAAAATACTGAGAGTTGGCTACGAATGATACGTCTTTGCACAAAACTCGGCAACGAATTATACTACAATTTTTCTTACTCTGCCACCCAAGGTCCGACTTCACGGTGGCATTATGTCACTGTGTTTCGTGTCTTTCTTCGTAGGTCCGCTAGATGCGCATGATCGCGTCCGTATAGCGGTGCTTTTGATTAACTTTAACCAGAAATTACGCGAAAATAGATTTTTTTTCAAAATTGTAATGACATTTTTATAGATCTAAGTTTATAGAACGAATTTAAGTTCAGACAAAAACTTCAAACTCCAATGTTGTAATTTTGATAAGTTAATTTTATGCAATTTTCGAAAATAAAGATAGTTTGCCGAAAATAGGATCAACACCACTTTCTACACTTTCTTTTGAAACATACGAGAAAATAATTTAAAGAAAAAAATGGAGCCGAATTTGAGTAAATAACCGTTTAAAATTTGTCTATATTTTACGCAAAATTATGCGAAAATTGCATTCGGATATTATCGCTTTTGTGCGATTGGGGAATATCAATTTTTGGAGAAAATCGTTAGACCGTTTTAGCGCTAGCGCTGCCTACAGACAGACGTTTTGCCGTCAATCGATTTTTTAGTAACGCGGGCCCACAAAACATGGATTCTTTCTACATGTGAAAGGGGAAGTATTTTGCTACATATAAAAGCAAGTTTTGTCCAATTTTTTGTTACCAGAACCTGACAATTAGTCGAAATACAGCCATTTCTCCCGCAGCATCACAATACTTTATACTGCGTGAGCAGTATGCGAGAAAGTTGATGCCCTGAGACATCTCTCCCGGAGTGTAGTGTGCACTACACTTATGGGAGCGATGTCCCTGGTAGTTGACGTGCTCGGAATCACTAAAACAAACAAACAATCAATCAATCCCCCCACTCAGAGTGCTCTGCAACGAGCTTGCAGTTGTCTGGTCCTCTGGGGGTATCGCTCGTTTAGGCTACGTGATTTTGGACGTCCTCTACTTTCCACACCCCTGGCAGCGTCGTCTGCAGCAGCTGGTCCGCGCTCCGCTTGGGGTGAAACCCTGCTCAAGTCTGTTCTCCTGCCACCTCGTTCCAGAGAGGTTCCCGGCGACCATCAGGGCTTCCTTCCGTTGCCGATAGGCCCGCAACAGGATTCTGACTCCTCTTCCTCCCTCTTGATTTTAGGGTTTGGGCTAAGGACCTCCACGTGTGTCTTCAACTGCTGTCAGTTGAACAACATAGTCACTGGAGACATTGTTGCTTAATGTTCCATCAGCTGCAGTAATGCAGGGAAATTGTACATTCAGAAGAAGAGGATTGCACAGAGGAAAATTTTATCTTTAGAGAACAAAATTAAATAAAATGCCAAGAAAGTAATTATTAAAATAATTATAATGGAGAAACTTGGAAACACTTACATGCATATAATGTACATGTTCATTGTATATAACGCTTATTAAATGCAATGCCATCAGTTGTTATAACTAAAAATACCTTTTTTTCTTTTTAATTGTATTGATCAATGAATCTTTTTGTGTATTTAACTGCAGGAGCGTCAAAAATTAATTAGAAAATCTACATGTGTAAGTGAGGTAATTTCTATTTCTTATTGGAATGGAGACAATTCTAAAACTTCATATCCATTTTCTAGAAAATGGAAAAAAACGAAGTTTGAGTTACATACTGCCTTTGATGAGTGTAAGCGCGCATACGTAAGGTAGGAGGTTCAAGCTTTCGGGTATTTAACGAGAAAAAATTACTTAATGTCTATTCATCACAATATATGGAAATTGGTAGCAACTCTCCATTGTTATATCTATAGCCTTCTCCAAAAAGGGATAAAATATCAGATATATTTGTAAAATTGTTTTCTATTTATTGACATATTACAAAAACAATAAGAAAAAAAAAATTTAATAACAAAATTTTACATTTTTACACTCTCCACAGGAAGATCTCACCAACTCTTCTGTATTTCTTTACTTTTGGATTACACATTAGATTTTATTCGTTTTTATTTGATTGATGTTTGTAGGCTTCATGTTTACTTGTTTCACTTTGAATTGGTTTATTGTCTCCATAAGAGCATTATTGAAAGAACCCCTAACCAGTCCGGCCAATCCACACCTTCAACTTTATGGATCGGGGCAGGTTGCGGTACTGGCAAGAGATCCGTCGGTGATACCACAAACCTGAGCAACTGCTGAAACGCGTAGAAGGAATTTTTCCATTCAAATGATGCAATTCTCATATCTTTTACTCCACACCATTAGCGTGTGCACCCTGAAACAAGTCGGCGGGGGGTGGAGGGTAAACTAAACCTCTGTACATCTCTTTTTTCCATTAAAGTTCTTTATTTACAGATGGCATTTACTAGTAAATAAATAAAACATACTACAAAGAGAATGAAACTATACTTTTAATGATACAATTAATACATACTATGGATTTTATATTGGACAATTTACAGGGTTGCCAGTTGGTTTGGAGAGCTTCTTTTGCGAAAGTTCTGCATCAGTTCTCCAAACTGCCAGCTTTACAAAGGATGAAATCAGGAAGTGAACATATCTACAGAAATAACATAATTTATTACGTATTGTTATGTTTCGAAATGTCCAGGGGGGTGGAGGGCGGGGGATTCCGATCGCTGTTCCGACGTGCGCGCCCCGAGCGCCAGGGGCCGCCCGCCGCCGCCTCAGCGGGCGCGCGGGTGCGGCGTGGGCAGCGGAGCCTCCACCGCGCGGCGAGAGTCGACCACGCTCTGCTCGGGGAGCATGGTGGTGAAGTCCGTCAAGGCGAAGCTCAGCGCCACCACCAGCACCACGAAGAGCAGCGCGGCGCCCACGAAGGCCGCGGCCCAGGCGCGCATGTCGCACTGCCAGCCCCGCAGCCGCTCGCGCACGCCCCGCAGCCCCCGCGAGCCGCGCGCCGCGCCCTCCACGCCCTCCGCGCCATCCGCCTCGCCCTCCGCCACCTGCGCCCGCGGACCGACATTTGGTACGTCGAAATAAACAGCCATTCAGCATTCACTCCTTCCACTTGCTCCCCTGTTCTCTTATCCACTTATTCCCTTAACCTCTTATTCCCTTACCAACTTATTCCCTTATCCACTTTTTCCCTTACCAACTTATTCCCTTATCCACTTATTCCCTTATCCTCATATTCCCTTATCCTCTTATTCCCTTACCCTCTTATTCCCTTACCATCTTATTCCCTTATCCTCTTATTCCCTTATCCTCTTATCCCCTTAACCTCTTATTCTCTTTACTTCTTATTCCCTTATTCTCTTATTCCCTTATCCACTTATTTCCTTACCCAGTTATTCTCTTATTCCCTTACACTCTTATTCCTTTATCCGCTTATTTCTTTATCCACTTATTGCCTTACCCTCTTATTCCCGTATCATCTTATTTCCTTATCCCCGTATTCCCTTATCCACTTATTGCTTTATCCACTTATTCCTTTGTCCACTTATTCAATTACACAGCTACACAAAACATTGTGTTCGTGTCTGGAGACGAGACCACGTTTTCTACATGTTTTTGGGGTCGCTAAATGCGAATCCGGTGTGCATTTTACTCCATCAATCAAGTTTGATATAACATCAAACAATATAAAAAATAGATATTTCTAACTGAGGGGTCAGCCCATGTTACCTATATGCTTTCGGGTCGCTGAAGCCGAATCTAAAGTTAATTTAACATCATCACATCAGATTTTTTAATTCAGATCAATTATAATTGATAGAGAAGGTGGCATTTGCGCCTGTGAAACGGGACTACGGGACAACACTCATCCCTTTGCATGGCAGATTGCGTATATCGTTGGCGCCAGAGCATAGACTTCTCTCCAAGCAGATAGATTTTTAAAATAGTTTGATGTAATGTGAAAATCTGATGAGATGAATCTATAAGGACTTCAGATTGATTATCAGCGACCCCAAAAACATATAGATAACATGATCTGATCCCTAAAATTAGAAATATCTTTCATTTTTAATATATTTCGCAGATATGTCAAAAACCTGATGTGATGGAGTGAAATGGACACCGGATTCGGATTTATCGACATCAAAAACATATAGAAAACTTGGTCTAATCTCCAGACACGAACAATGTTTTTGTGTAGGTGTGTTATTCATTCATGTAATCAGTTTTTGTTGTCATTTATTAATGTATTCATATATTGATTTTTTAATTTATCAATTAATTCATTAATTTATTTGGTTTCCGGAGCCCTTCAACTGCTCAGGACATTGCCACCCCTGAGTGATCTAATGAGTAAATGATAACGATAATGATCATTAGGTAACTGATGAAAGGAAAATGATAGAATGAGAGGAAAGGGAAGCGAAAACCAGGAAATTAGCTCAACACAAAACAAAACAAAAAAAAAAAATAATTAAAAATTAACATTAATTAAAAATTAAATTAATACGAAATAAAATTTATTTTTCAAGTGATTGCGATGGACTAGCTGTGCTAACTTTTGACCTGAGGACGAGAAGAGTCTGAGAATACCTGTCAACAACTCGAACTGTCCACGTCAAATTCTACAGAGACATCGGTGATCGAATAAAGGATCCAATAGTTTAAGATGAGTGCAAGACTCCCCCTCCGCTTGCGGCAGAATGACGGAATTGTTTAATTGGTGGTTACTTTCTCAGTCCGTACAGGATAATAATAATAATAAAATGTATTTAACAGTCAACATGTTTGTAATCGACCACAGTTTTTAGAGCGAAAAGGTCAAAACGATTTTCGCCATCTGCTTCTTTGAAAGTGAGTGATAGTTGGATGCCACCCTCGTGCATCAATCCTGTTCTAGATTATTGTATCCTTCTAGTGCGTTATCTGCTGTTCGGGCAGTTCCTTGGAATTCTTTCGGTTCTTTAGTGGGTGTTTTTTGTCATTACTACTGGTGTTACTTTTGAGGAACATGATGTTGTTTTGCAGTCTTCTAGTGAGCGGTAAATTAAAAGCAACATAAAGAGGCGATTGAATATATAATTTATTTTATTGAGCAGTATTCCAAGAAATATAGGTATAAATTGTAAGTCATAAAACTCATAAAATTATATTGTTTATTAGTAGTAGATGTGTTATACAAAGGATATTCAAAATTACTCGCACGAAATTAAAGCCATATTTAAGTGATAGTGATAACATCAAACAAAAATGTCACCAAATGTTGATAAATTCGGCACGCTAGTTTAGAAGCTACACAATTTTTTTAATTGCTCATACGCAAGGCAAACGGCGTAACAAACAAAAGGCGCAAATACATTTTGCAAAAGGTAGACATCCGCTATCCATTACTACTACTCTTGGAAACTTCACAGCGTTCAGGAATCGTAAGCACTCTCGCTAATCGCGCGACAAGGACATTTTCGTCTTTTCTCTTGCTACTGTCTCTACTACTGGTCGCGGGTCCTGGCTGAGAACGCGCCAGCGATAAGCTTCTGCCCTTTGGAATATCACGGAAGCGGAGCTCTACCGGGACATCCCAAAGGAATATCATAGTCACGCAAACAAGGTAAAAAGCAAAAAATACGTATACTACGCGACACTCATTCATCTCCTGCGCACAAACATTTTAAACTAAATTACAAATAGCGCTTAAAATGGCTCCCACGCATAAGACAGCATGCGAGTGCGGGTTGCAATGCTTTTCTGCATACTTTCATCTCGCAGGCGTTCCAATAAGCGAAAGAAGCACGAACACGCGCGTCTCGAGAGCGACGGCCGCGACATCACATACTTTTTCTTATAACGTATGGTTAACGTGCGTCTATACCCCGCACGTGCATGCTCTGCCAGGCGCATTCCTCCCCTGAGTGGCCACCTAGGCGCTAGCCTCTATCACATCCCCGCAGGCGCACAAGTGCACCCTTGGGCTGGAATTCGGAACCTGCCGGGACAAAGTTACCCTTCACGGGAGCCTCTCAAATGAATCCTGGGCTGGGCCACTCTGCCAGCTCTGAGAGGCGAGCGCCGGAGTCAAATTAAGCGCCATTCACAATACGCCCGGACGAATCCCTGCTCAATTACCCACGAGTATTGGGAACTGCCTCGACGAAAACAAGAGCCGACTGAGGGCCGTCTCTTCACTGCCTCTACCTTGAAGCTATCGAAGTATCGTCGGAATTTAGGCCACCTAAGGCTTCATTAACAATGCAAACTTAAAAGTAACGTAATGTCATAAACGTAGCAGTAAAATTGTCACGTAAAAACAAGCATTCACAATGACGAACTTAAGCGGGAACATAAGTTTCGCCTGGGCCAATCACATTTCAGGGTATTGAAGCTTGATCAATTGTCGATTCGTTTCTAGCATTGTGAAAAGATCTTTCCGACATAGTTTCTAGCAATTCTCTTCGATTTTTCTAGCGAATTGTATTTATATATAAATGCGAGTATCTGTTGTATTAATATAAATATGAGTATCTGTTGTATTAATGCTCGCATTTCCTTTACTTTATAAACAAGGATTCTCTTGTACGAAGTTCACAAGTGATTCGTCGAACGTAAATTTTTTTATTCTCCACGTCAAGTTAAAGTCACAAGAAAACTAGCCTAAATTCTCACTTTGAATTCACTACTCGTGACAAAACAGTTTGCAAACTAGTTCAGTACTTAACAGTAATGAAATGACATAACCACAACCTACCTGAACACACTTAATGCACTGTACGTGTTCGTGCCACCTATTTTCAGTCCTAGAACTCATAAAAAAGTTTCAAGTCAGTAAAAAATAGTGATGTTTTGTGAATGTGCGATGACTCAAAAGTGACATACGTGACGCAGAAGCCACTTGTTGCAGCATACGCGTGCCATTTAGCTGTAGTAGCACCGGAAGAGATGACTCAGGGCATCAACTGATGTCACTGTAGTCCCTCTGCAGTCAGGTCGTAGGTACGAGTTCTGACAATGGCAGGATTTTCAGCACTAGCTTGTTGGCTAGGTCGAATTCAGTCGCGGTCTGGAGAGGAATTCTTCCGATCGACTGCTCTGATCGGCAGGTTTCCGTGGTTTCAATGATCAACACCAGGTGAATGCCGGAGCAGAACCCTATCAAACGGGCCACGTACCGCGCGCGATTGTTTCTACCTCTCCCTTGTCCTATCCTCTCTCCTTACACACACACTTACACTAACACACACTACACTACCACACATGCCGGGAAACCCGCCAGGAGCTAAGAACTTGCCCCTGCTGCCCCGCTGGTGGGAGATATCTGGTTGGGGAAAACCCCGCTAGCTGACGGGTCGCCGCCGCATCTCGCCATACGGAGGGGGACAGATCACCGACATCTCCCGAACAAAAAACATGCATTACGCTTAAGGGACTAATGACCCTGGTAGTTGACGCGCCCGGAGTAACTAAAACAATAAATCAAACGATCGCTGTAGTAGCAACGCACCTAAAGATGATGCGTTTAATTAGATGCTGGCTAATGTTGTATACTTTGCAGCGACACATACTCAATGACCTCCGCGTTAAGAGAAGAGCGCGACGTAAGTCGCCCACAAATACAGATTCCGACAGTGGCAGAATTTTCGACACTACTTTGTTAGCTAGGTCCAGTTCAGTCGCTGTCTGGAGGACAATTGTAGCGGCCGGCTGTAGTTTTTCGTCGTTTCCCCTATCAATATTAGAATAATGCAGAAAGAGTACGATAACAAACGTGCCAAGAACATCGGGTGATTTTTCCCTTTTCCTTTTCTTATCCTTTCTGTTTACATTTTACTTAGGAAATACCAATTTTAGAGAAAGTTGGCAGAACGGTTTAGCCGCTTGCGTTGTTTACTGACGGACAGATAGACGGACGGACGGACAGGCGTTTTGCTGTCATTCGATTTTTCGGAATCACGGACCCACAAAACATGAATTCTGGCTGCACCACGTATTAGAGAATTTCCCTCCTAAATTTAGCCCAAGTAATCAGAGTTTTCTGCTGAAATTTCGCCATTTTTTCGCGCAGCATTACATAACTTTCTCTCTATTGAGTAAGCGGTAGCGAGAAAGTAAAACCAAGCTCCATTTCGTCCTGCATGAAAGAAGCTTCACGTGCGTCACGAAAAAAGCTTCAGGATTCACGTGTACCGTTTGATTACAGCCAATTCTTACTCTCCAGTACCTCATTTTCCACCCACTTGACAGTAGCATTTTTGAGTGAGAGTTTGAGAAGTTAATAATACTGCGGAATTCACCTATTCCTAGTTTCGATGAATCTTAGTGCAGTATTGAGAAAAGAGTGTGTAAACTATTTGTTGAATGAAAAAATGTTTTGCGTTATTATTATTATTATTATTTTATTATTATTATTATTATTATTATTATTATTATTATTATTATTATTATCGTTATTATTATTATCATTATTATTATGCCTTTTTGCAAACACTGCACACTCATGCATGCACAGATTTATCAAATTTTCATCAGATAGTTTATACGGTGCTTTCATGACAAGTTTGAGAAATTGAGCATTGAAACCACAGTAAAATAATGGGTCGTTTTACGTTATATTATGAGTACTATTCGCGTCATTTTAACTCAATATTTTGATGACTTAACTTATGCAAAACAAAATGTGTTATACGGTGTATCTGTGTCTTCTCAAGTAATAGGGGGATGTTTTGAACGTAAAAGTAGAATTAGAAGGCTACTTTGTTTTAAGAAGCTCCAATTTCAAAATCGATTTGAGAATGGATATGAATTTGTTACCTGCATGTGAAATGTGATTCCGTCGCTGGGTTTAACACTGGAGATGGGGGCCTTCGTGGAAGAGTCACTGGACGATTCTTTGGAGATGCTCCCGGGGGCGTCACCGGGCGCCGCGGTGTGGGCGTGGCTGAGGCCATTGATAAGGGCACTGTCTTCATTAGGAGTGTCTCTAGGGTCGTCGCTTGGTGCTTCGCTGGGTGCTTCGCTGGGTGCTTCGCTGGGTGCTTCGCTGGGTGCTTCGCTGGGTGCTTCGCTGGGTGCGACGCTGGAGGCCGCGCTGGGAGCATCGTTGCTCAAGTCGTCGTCCGTGTTCAGCAGCTCGGCGTGCGCAGTACCTCCAACCTCCAGCTTCATGATCTTGCCTTACGTCTCCTCACTGCAAGGGAAGGCACAGGCAAGTCGTTAGATTAAAAGGTAACTCGCGTTTTATCAGACCCCATAGAGATGCGAGATCTATAATAAAGTTATTAGTATCATTAAGCCGATGTAGAGAAAATAACGAACGCCGATGAAGCTTGTAAACAGAGGCGACAGCCGAGGCATCTAAAGCTCGGAAATACAGGGATTTATTTTACCTAAAATAGGTAGAAACTAGTGGTGCAACAGAATGGCACAGACTTTCCTGTATTCGTTTTTTTTTCCTTTGGTCTCGGGTAGCTATTCGATTTTGCCGCATACTCTTGCCTGCTGCCATCTATCGCAGCCCAAAATATATTTTTTTTTTTGGAATTTTCATAATTTTTCAGTTTACTAATAATAGAGTTGAAATATTATTTCAAGAATATTAAAGAACAGTAAAATAGCGTCCACAATGGCAATTTTCTTTGAAAAATTTGGAGCCGTTTTTAAGAAAAAGGCGCTTAAGGGTTACGGTATATTCGAAATTTGAAGCAATTTTTCACAGACAAGTTTTGAGTTTTCGAAAAACTTCAATAGAAGTCATTTGAAGCACATTAACTCACAAATACAATAGAGTGTATAAATTGTTGGAAATGTGCATATTAACTGCGTGAGAGATATACAAAACGTACATTAAAATTACATTTGTGTAATTTTCGAAAAATATCAACACAGAAATACCGCGATATGGACGTAACGTCATATTAAAAAGTGCAATTAGCACTATCCGTCACAAAAATGTGAAGAAACAAATTGGAACCGTTTTTGAGAAAATGGCGTTTTCCAGCGTTTTTGAGCGTTTCCAAAAATACGAACTTTTGAGCTAGTTATGATAGAAATCGGTTAAGTTTTCGAGAAGCTTTTTATATGACATTATTTAAAGCTTATATACTCGTAAATACAACAACGTGAACAAATTGCCGCTAATGTCAATATTAAGGACGTGAGAGACAAGTAAAAAAATAGTTTTATAATTATTGAAAAAACAAAAGGATAGAGCAATACGGCATTTATGTCATCTTATAGAGTGCATTTAGCACAATACGTAGCAAAACATTAAAGAAAAAATTAGAGTCGTTTTTGAGAAAATCTTTGTTTTGTAATTTTTTAAAATTGCAAACATTGCACGCAATATTGCGCGAAAACGAATAAAATGTTCAAAAAATGTAATAGACCTTTATAAAAGAACTAAATATGAAGAACAACTTCATTTGAAGGAAAAATCTCTATCTTCAATTTTGTAGTTGTAGGAAACGCCGAAAAAAATCAAACTTTTAAAATTTTCCAAAATTCAGAGTTAACAGTGTCACCTGTCAATGTCACCTTTATAAGTACTCTTTACTCTAATGTTTTTGTTTAATTTTTTTGTAAGAATAGAGCCATTTTTGAGAAAATTTCGAAAATGTCTCAGGGGTTACATGTAAAGTACCCCCAAAAATTAATGAATGATTTTTAAAATAGCAGAGCCTCAAGCCAGATCAATTTGACAAGGGTTTCTTGAATTTGGAAAAAATCCTACACCTAAATGATTTAGGCGCTAGTGTTGTTCACAAACACCAGACAGATGGACGGATACGCGGACGGACTGACGGACAGAGAGACGGACGGTCAGACAGACGGACGGACGTTTTGAAACAAATAAGTTTTTTGATATCAGGGGGAAAGGACCAAAATAAAGCAAGACACTAAAGTGTAGCGGTGGTATAGAATGAGAAGTTCTCGAACTAGTTTCCAAATCTCTTTGCTCTGTGGCTCTTTGCTCGTTGCTTTTCGGTATTGCGCAATCCACAATCCAGCTACTTCCAATAGGGCGTGAACACATTTTCTTCAGTTCAAATTTTCTCAGTTTTTCGTTTTCCTAATTGTAGGATTGATGTGTAAGTTTAGGAATATTACAGAAGAGTAAAATCTGGTTCTCTTAGCAAATTTTCATTGAACGTTTTGTAGCCACCTTGAGAAATGTAGTTTGAGCATGTCTGAAAATGCGCAATTTTGAGCTCATTTTCACGGAAAACTTTTGAGTTTCGAGAAATATATAAGAAATTATTTGAATAATTTATACTCATAAATACAATAATAACGTACTTGATGTAAATAATAACATGAGAAATATTTTTAAACAAATACGTTTGTGTAATTTTTAGGAAAATTAAATGAATACATAAATATGACATGTTATCCAGCGTGTATGTATCTATCCGTACAAAAAGTTTAAAGAAAAATAGGAGCAGTTTTTGAAAAAAACCTTGTTTTCAATATTGCGCATATTTCACTCAAAATTAAGCAAAACTACTAATATTTTCAAAAAATGTACAAGACACCTGTTAAAGAATCAATTGTGGATAATACATTTTATTCAAAGAAAAGTCTCTATCTTGAATAATGTGTTGGACGATCGGATCTATACCGTATTTATAAGAGAACGTTCTTAAACTCTTGCAAGAAAATTAAAGTAACTAGTGGAAAAAACGAAGAAAAAAGAAAAGAAACGAATTCATTTTAAAATTGTAGAGCTTGGTGTTGGTCCACATCGATCACTAAATTTTCACTTTGGAAAAAGTTATACAAATATTTTAGGCATTAAATGGACGGACGGAGGGACAAACAGTCTTGTGGACTAAGGTTTGAATAAACAAAACAAAATTATTCTTCGACATTAAGAGACTTGTATTTTGTTTAACGTATCTTCCGTAAAAGTGCATTTCCGAATAATTCTCAAATGGATTTTTCGCAGCATTACATAACTTTTTTCTATGAACAATACTCGAATGAGAATTCAGGCGGTACCCTTAGTATGAGAATAAGCGGCAAAACAGAATCAAATATTTTCATTTTTCAGTCAAAATCAGAACTTTTTCATGTTTTGGATTTTTTGGACTTTTCAGTGTTTCTGAATATGTAAAAAAACCCATAGATACATGGCTGCACACGGCCGGAGGCTGCTTAGCATAATTTCAATTTCTGCAAGCATTGAAAATTCGTAATAGAAATAACTTCAATATAATCTAGGTTTCCCTTTAACAATTCTATGGCAATTAATATTGAATTTTACTTCAAAATGGATTTAATATAGGCTGACATTTTTTCAATGAAAACTTACACCTAGGAATATGTTTTACTCTTCTGTAATATTCTCATAGATATATTTTTGTTCTACAGTTAGGGGAAGGAGGAAATGTGAAAAAAAATGTTTTGGCGCTGATAGGTTGCAGCTGAGACGAGGGGCGTGGCAATACTGAAAAAGTAACCTAGTCTGCTGAGATTAAAAAACTAAGTGGTACGAGAAAGCCTGCTCTGTTGTGTAGCAGTACTACTTTAATATTCTCTGAGAATGTACCGAAGGGATTCGAAATGAAAGTGTTTGCCACCTCTAGATTAAGACGCGTCGAATGTTACATTTGTCTCGAATTGTGGAGTGCAAGAAGACACTGTGAAACACGGCCAATCACGCGGGCATTCACAAATTACCCAGTTACTGTTTGTCAGGAAGAAACATTACCTCGAGAATGCGAATTGTACAGGAAAAACAAGACGATTGCAAAAACACATTTACTATAATACAAGCTCCAATGTGACTGTGGTAAAACATTAACTAATGTAAATTTCTTTTCGGAAATGAAGTAGGTACATAATGTGCACACACGAGGTAATTCTGCTTGCATTTCGTAATTTCAGTAATTTACGTGCTACTGTTTGAAGTGTTATTTTATTAGTTGAATTTAACAGATTAGATATTTACAAACTTTGAATGTGAGCACGAGACCAGAATCCAGGGGAAAAAAAGACAATCAGCCAAACGTCAGTGGAGTGAAACGTGAAAGTTCAGTGTCGACATGTAGGTCGAGTAAGTAAAAGTCGGGACTTACCTCACGGAGCATCGCGACGAAGAGGAGCTGGGCGGCGCGGAGGGCCTTCCCGGGCGGGAGCGGAGGGCGGTGGGCGGCGGGCGGACAGGGCCCTGCTCACCGCGTGCTGCGCACTGCGCACTGCGCGCCTGACGAAGCGGCCCCGGGGGAAGCAGCAGTGCAGGAGGAAACCGCAGGCGGCGACGGCGGCGGCGAGGGCGAGGCGCAATGGGTCAAACACTCTTATCTGGGGCGAGCCGTGGCGGAGTGATTTGGTGGATTGATTCTTTAGTCAACTACCAGGATCATGTGTAGTCCCGTAGATGTAATGCAAGTGTTTTGCTCGAGAGGTGGCGGTGATCTTTCCGAGGGCGGGGTTTTTCCCTAACCAGGTATCTCCCACCAGCGGGGAATTGCCCTAGCCGGACTCTTAGCTCCTGACGGGTCTCCGGGAATGTGTGGTAATGAAGTGCGAGTTAGTGTAAGTGTGCGTGTGTGTAAGAGACAAAGAAGTGCGGTCCGTGGCCCGTTTGTTAGAGTACTGCTCCGACTTCCGCTTGGTGTAGATCGGAGAAACCACGGAAAACTACTGATCAAAGCAGCCAGCCGCTAGAATTCTCCTCCAGACAGAGACTGAATTCGACGTAGCTAACAAGCTAGGGTCGAAAATTCTGCCATCTTCGGGACTCGAACCTAGGACCTCCCGGCCTGGTCAGGTCCCGTCAGGTCAGGCAGTGCCATTAATTGGCGTCCTTAGCCATCTCACCCGGCGATTGAATAATGATTGCGGGTGCGATAGCTTAGAGAATAATTAGTACCGTAAGTGTAGTGCATGCTTTTTACTCTCCCGGAGGCAGCGATTGTGAGAGCCGATGCAATCTAAAGTCGGCTTACGGGTTTTCTCGTAATAACTGTACCTAACTGTATTTCCTGTACCTTTTATTGTCAATTATTGGTAGTTTTCGCATAATTTTGTGTCACATTCAGACAATTTTTCACAAATACGTAAACAAGATTAAAAAAATTTTCCAAATTTTTATTTTAAACTGTTTTTTGAAAAGATAGGCTGCAATTCTATGGTGCACGTGCCATTTTAATTAAAACTAAAATTTTCAAAATTTAAAATAAATATGTATTTTCTTTTTTGCTTCCCTGCTTCTTTCAAACGGCAGCTTGAAAGAAAACTCAACGTGATCTGAATTTCATTTCAAATCCCAGACCAGATTTTTTCTGACAATGAGTCAGGAACAGGTGCGAAGATATGTTTTGGGTCTTAACGCATTGATGGCCACAAAACCTTGTGCATTCGAGTTGTCCCCTCGGAATCAACTATTATTAAAATTTTACCTGTTACAACTAGTGGTCGCCCACTGGTGAATTTCGTTCAATTACGTCATCTGCGAGCGTCTACAAATACTTCATTAGCGTGTGTTGTTTGCCGTAATTCCGTACAATATCTATGACATTTGAATACCTATGAAAACAGGGATCACTGAGCTTCTCTTCTGTATCGCATGGCTAAGAAATGCTACGGAAACTGATTGCGTGACCCCAACCGCCAACAGAGCAAAGTCCTTTGGAAGCCAAATATAGTACTCTCTCCAGCGCCCTTTGTTTATGTGCAATGTTAAGTGAAAACTTACGTCACTACAAACTTTTCTAAAAACTAACTTCGTTTAAGTGCGAACATTATTATTACTGTTATTAATGTTATGCTTTTCACGTACATAAATGTAAACGTGGTGAGGAGTATTTCTCTCTTAAACGCTAAGCTTGATATTAAACGTCTACAAATTTCATTTTCTCTAATTTTGAAGATTAGGGAATTGAAAAAAACAACAACTGTGATCTCCTCGGAGCACAGAAATCAGGTGTTAAGACCCTAAAGCGCATCCTTTTCGAGTTATGTACGATGCACGATGTATTGCAACATGTTGCGAGTTACATCTGCACGCTATATTATTTTATTTAATTTAGTATATTTGTAGCACACATATATACATTTTAGCTTTCTGCACTCCTTCACCATAAAACTTTACGCCAAATCTCCTTCTCCCCCGTGAGCACACTTTGCTTAAAACAGTGATACAAAGTTTTCTCTTCAAGTTTTGATATATAGATACCATGAAAAATATTGCTCTCTATCTAGAGAGCTCTGTAGAGTTCTCTAATTAGAGACTATACTGATAAAAAAGAAACATAATGTTTATTTTAACAAAACACTGATATGTAATGAATTAGTTCACATTTGTATTGTATATTTTTTTAAAAGACTTAATATACTTATAACAAATAATGTACTTCAGCTTTCGGGTCAATGAACCCCATCTCGATCAGGTTTTTGTCCAGTTTCCCTGATACATTGAGCAAATGCTGAGATGGCCCCTTCTTTTGCTTCTGGACGTAATTTTAGCTTCACTACGCGCACGTTTTGTTTAACTTTCTTTTATCTTGCAGTGGTAGGAGCAGAGGTACGGGCAAGCTATTTTGTTAGGTATGCAGAAAATAAAATCTGCAGTTCGTTTACCGTTGCAAATAAGAATTCTATTACTCAAGAACGAAAATGTTAAGTTTTTCAAACGTTGCCAAACTCGCACTTTTTAAAATGTATTTCTATTTATTTATGATAAACTTTTAATCATCTTTCAACTATTTATAGTTAAAATGATGGGAAGGGATTCTGGAACTCAAAAAAAGTGTGCAGATTATCTTCACCCCCATACGTCACATATAGTTTTACCTTTTTTTGACTAAATATATAAATCTAAATAACGCTTATTTTTTTGAGTAAACTGTTAGGCGCGCTCTCCCTGCGTTAGCGCCCAGTGCGCCGTATCGGGGCCTGCTGAACGTAGCGATAAGCCCTCCCGCTGGGGTTTCCGCTAACATGTGTATGAATGTGCGGATGTGTGAGTGGTGGGGGAGGAGATCGCGAAGTTCCAACGTTTCAACATCAGAAGCAATACGCACGAGAGTGGGTTTTCCTTTCTTATCGAAATTCCTTACCGCGCTCGTGCATCAAGAAAAGTCTTATTTTATATCACAACATTCATATTCGTTTTGTTGCTAGTGAAAAGGAAATGTACGTCTTTTTTAATTGTAGTTTGTATACTCTTTCTTGAGCAGCCTACATGTAGGTTATCTCAAGATAGGTATTTAATTTATATTGTTTTATATTTCAATGAGGAAAGCACAAAAAACAACTCTTTCTCCATCAATAAATTCAACATTATTTCAGATCAAAATGTCTAACAGTGAAAAAATTGAGAGATGGAAGGGAAAGGAAATAAATGGAAAGGAAAGATTCTTGAGAAATTGGGTGAAACTGGGCGGTTTGGACGAAGTAAGTCTCAAAATTAGTAGATTGTGTGTGTGTCCGTGTATCAATCTGTTAAACAAGAAATGCTGACTCAGCAACTTGTAATGAATACTATCTTTAACAGAAAACACGTGTTATTTATTTTTAGAGAGGGGATTCAATTTATAGAAGGATTATTATATAAAACATATATGTTATTATCGAGCTTGCCAAAGTCGTGTCTGTTTTCAACAATTAAATTCACCAAGAATAACTATTCTTTTTGCTGATAGAAGTCGCTTTGGAGTTCTGGCGTAAGTATACGTTTTCCAATACTATCTTCATGGTGGAGGCATCTACATAGATATTTGAATAATGCCATCTAATTCGCGTAATATTGAGACAAATAAAGGAAAATTAACCTAGTGATACTATAAATGGCACAGACTTTCTCGTATACTAGTCTGTTATCTATTTTCTTGAGTTTGGGCTAGCTTTTTGGTTCTTCCCATTTTCAAATCATAACTGTGCCACGCACGGTACTCTCTCTGGGGACATTTCCAATGAAGAGTACCGTCGTGCTTCCCGAACGTCCCCTTTAAACCGAAATATATAAGTATTTGGCCATAGTATCTCTTGACCGAACTTTGATGCTTCTACTTTTGTACTGGATGAAGGAATTCAGTATCTCAATCACACAAACAGATTGCACACACAGTTGCTTCTCAGGTGAAGAGATAATGGAAGGTATGCAAATATAAATGCATTACAGGAGGGACTTGGGAAGCCCTTCAAACCACCAACAAAGCAAATCAATCACGCCCAACACAGATTTCGAACGCGCAGTGTATACGTACTCGAACTCAGGTGCACCAAGCTCCTCCAAATCTCTTGATTGTATTTGTAAACACGATACTGTTACGTACAAAGCAAAGTGGCAAAGTAAAGTTAATTTGGGGGTATTTTTGTTTTCAAAAATTACACAAATGTAATTTTTCTGAAATATTTTTCGCGCCGTTAATATGTATATTTCCAGCAAATTGTAAACACTATTGTATTTGTGAGTTAAAGTGCTTCAAATTAATTTAGATAAAGCTTTTCAAAAACTCAAAAAATGTCTGTGAAAAAGAGCTTGAGAACATTTCGAATTTACGGTAGGCCTTAAACGCCATTTTCTTGAGAAACTCTGAAAATGTTTCACAGAAAATTGCCATTTAGAACGAGGTTTTACTGTTCTTCAATATTCTTAAAATAATATTTCTGTTCTAGTACTATTAAGAAGATGCATTAAGACGATAGATGGCATCTGACAAGAGTTATGGCACGTCCAAATATCTAGCCGAGACCAAAGGAAATAGAAAACTATCACGGGAAAGTGTGTGCCATTCTGTAGCACCACTAGTTTTGTTATCAGGGCCCGGAAATGATTTTTTTGCCGAAAATCCGCCGATTTTTCGCCCAGTACATAACTTTTCCTTTAATACGTACATTACTATGTGCTATATCCCTATGTACGTATGTATACAGGAAAGTGAAAACTGTCCTTAGCGGTGCAGCTCGACCTAACGTCATACCGGAATATTCCATTCGGTAAAAAAGAGGAAGAAACAATAAAATACTTCCTTAAACAAGTCATTTTGTGTTTCTGATACATGACTTAATGAGTGTCAAGAATTATGTTGACATTCTCAAAACATTTATCGATACGCTACAATTCTAAAGTTTCTGACTACAAGCCTCGTGATAATTTATGCATAAACAAGATGGTTTCCTCTTATCCACGCCACCACATACGAATAACGTTCGACCGGACGCCATGCATTGGAGTGGAACAGTGCGACCAGTGGTAAAAAAAAACTACGTGCGC